TCTCTGGTACAGACTTTGTTTCTTACCTAGTGTCCGGGTCCAGGTCAGGGCTTTACTTCCTTCCCGTGGTTACTTCTAAGATTCCCATTAACAGTGTATCATAAGGGATTTCTATTCATTCTCTTTCATATTTTCTTGCTGTGTCTTTGTCTCTGGTGTGTGTGTGTGTGTGTGTGTGTGTGTGTGTGTGTGTGTGTGTGTGTGTGCCTGTGTGTCTGTCTGTGTGTGTGGTGTGTATTTAGTCCAGAGGACAACTTCAGAGATGTCCACCTTGCTTTTCTTCTGAAACCCTGTATCACCCGGGTGATTACCCAGGTCTCGGCTTTTCCTTATGAAAAGCTGATATAACTCTGGCTTCCCATGGATGGTCTTTCCTTCATGAAAATCTACTTCATTACTCATCCCATCCAGTGTATTCATCACAAGTTACACAGTTTCACCTCTAGAAATTTGATTGGATTGTTGTATTTCCCAAACACAAGGAAATAGCTAAGATACTTTTTAAAACACTCTTTTGCTTGTCTAGGATCCGTAAATTGGTTTGTGTCTTAATTATGGGTCAAATGTTCTTGCTGTTTTGCCTAATATTTTTAGTTAGAGGCTAGAATGTGTGACACTTACCTTTTATTGGAGTTTATTTTTCTATTTTGTATTATTTTGTGATAACATTGTTTAAAAAGTTTTGTCTTTTTGTGCCTTGCTATTATGTATTGGATAAGACCAGAGTGGAGCTCATTCTGGGGTGAATGCCCCAGTGAAGGCACACACTTGTGCAGTTCAGTTGTAGTGACCATGAGTTTTGAGCCTCCTGACTCTGTCCCAGCCCTGGTCTCTCTGACATGCTCTCACATTCTCTTCCAGGATTAGATGGTTTTCCCTTTGAGTGGTCTGTGCTTGGCTGAACACTTGAAGGACCTTATGGAATTCCCTCTCCTAGGTCTCACGGCTTTCCCAACTTGGAGATCATTCCCTGGGGTTCTCCATTCTGCTTCACAGCTGGGGAGTTATTAGAGCTGGGTGTTCATCTTTCAGAGACCATAGTCCTTTGCTGTCTTGCTTCCAGACATCTGTTTTGTATTATTTCCTAGGGATAGAGAACTCCATCTTGCTGGGAGGCCCTTTGTGACAGCTATTTACAACTCTTAATAAATACATGTCTTTATAAATACTGCTCATGAGCAAAACATTGCTCAGACACACTCAGGCTCCTTCTGTTACTGGGTGGGCTGTGAACCACACTTCATACATCAGGGCCTTCAGACCTGTCCTGCCACTCTGTACACAGGAAGGTGGGTGATCTTTTGTCAGGATATAGTAGATGTCTACCACATGGGGTAGAGTACAAAGATGTCATTCTCTTCATCACTGATATGGGCTTAGAAGGAAAGGTGGAGCTGGATGACTGTGCCCCTCCTACAGGGATGGAGACTTCCTTTCCATAACAGGTTACTGTAGTTCCATTTGGATCTCATCTTCCGTTATGGCTAAGCTCCCATTGTTGACCAGTGTGACTGGACTCCCAGGACAGAGCTGCATAGGCAAATTCCAGTGTGTGCTCCCAGGAAGAAGGAAGCTCTTAAAAACTCTTTTGTAGCAGGATGGATGTCTTATAGCCACTCTGAGCCACATTTTGTGTCCACAGGTTTCTTTCATGGCTACAAATGCAATCCATACAAGCTAAGTTATCTCTTGTGGAGGGAGATACCATGTACACCCTTGAAGCTGTATGGTCAAGGATGTTTTTAGCCAAAAGAAGCAAGACTTTAGGTTCTTAAAACTTGAAAAATTTTAATACTAAATTTGTAGAGTTATAGCTGAAAACTAAAATATGACAATGTAGTTAATAGTGTGTATAATAGTATGTGATTTTCATATGTGATGAATACATAAATATAATTTTGTCATGCAGAGGTTCAGTGAGAACCCCTGGCCAGGTGAGAAGGGCTTGTTGGGCTGGCTCAGATGCCTCCCAGTGGAAAGGCCCACTTGCCCAGCTCTGTGTTCTCCGTGGGCCAAGCTGCCTCCAATGTGCTCTTTCTCTGTCTCACATGGGATTTCTGGGGGTCAAAATCAACCAGAATATTACTGTGGCTGGTAAGGGGGACAGTCAGCAGGACCCCAGGCTTGAAGAGTTTTCTGTGACTCCTTGGCTGGGCTACACTGTAGCTCAGTGACAACCTGACCCTGCCTGTGACTCTAGAAGACAAGCTCTCTGCATGGAGCAGTGCTAAATGTAAGTTAAGTGGAGGTTCAAAGCAGATCCTTGTTTAAGGGTCTCTAAGTTTGGCCCCACATGGGTAGGAAGATGTAGGTGCTATGCAGGGAGAACACTTTGCCATTTTCAGGCCTTCAGGTAGTGACCGGGTTTGAGGACACTATCAGGATCATACTGAACAGAGGGGTGGCAGGACACCCAGGCTAGGCATGCCTCTCTTCCCTTGGAGTTTAACCTCTGACCCAGGCCCCAGCTCTATGAGACCCCTGGTCTAGCTGCCAGGCTTTGTTCATGTTTGACAGCCACAGAGGGGCTGAAACTTGCTCATGGCCCATTGTCAGTGAGGGCCACAGGCAGGGGCTTCCCTGGTATCTTCAGCAGTGGTGTGAAAAGAAACTGGCCATATCTGTCCATGATGCTTTGAAATATGCCACTGTTTCCCCGATAGTAAGAGCATTCTCACAGTCCCCCATCCTCAGAACAGCCCCGGCACCCCACAGTCCAGCTACCCTTATCACTTTCCTGGAACTGTCTTGGCTCAAGGCCTGTGCACATCCTCCCTGATGTGCACTTGCAAAGCAGGACCCAACTCCATGGCATTCCTGGGCTCCTCCTCAGACCTAGTTCCCCCAGGTCACTTCCACCCCTGTCTCCACCCCAATGGGCATGGTCAGTGCCACAGATGTGGACAACGTGAATATCTCACTACACAGTAGGCTGCACCTTCTGGTCTCTGTGTGACCCTGAGGGAGACTCCTAGGACACAGACTGCTGAGGCCCTCCCTGGAGAGACAGGAGCACCTGTACAATCCAGCTGGAAACCTGCCAGTGTCCCAGTCTCCTCTGCTACATCCTCCTGACCTCAGCATAGCTCCAATTCCCCCAGCCATTGTTCTCAGACTTTGGAGGTTATTAATGATCATTTGTTTCCTTTCTGAACTCCATGTTGTTCTAATAGGACCCTTCTTAGCCAGGTTACTACTCTGGTCTGGGTGTCTCCCCTAAGCCTGGATCACAAAGAAGACAGCTGGACCTTACGTTGGTCTTCAGCATTGCATCCCTGGGAACCTGGACCTTCATACAGTGGTCTGCTTAGGAACTCTGATCCTGCAGGGGTCATGTGGACACACCCTTGTTACTGGGTTTAGGGTCCAGTAGGATAATCTAGGACAAGGTTTCATCTGAAGATATACATACTAATTTCATATGTAGACACTTTTTAGGCACTTTTTTTGTGGTCCTGGAGATCCAGATAGGAAGAAGTCTTTTCCATTGAACTATACCCCCAGATAAAGACTCTGTTTACACATTGGTCACATTTTGAGGTTTCAAATATAGTGAATTTTGGGGCCCATCATTATCCCAGCAGGGGTGTTTTGCTGGGTCACTATGAGGGATGCTTACCACAGGCACTTCCACACAGATTTGGTGCAGGTCCCCTGTACCGGTTGTCTACAGGCAAGATCCTGAGGGTTCAGCAGCTGTCATGCTGTAGGAGGGTCAGTTCAGAAATCACTATCCAAACCCTAAGGCCCATCAAGCTGACATTTTGGACCATGGTTGTTAACAGCAGGCCCTCCATCACTTTATAATATTGATACAAGTCTGGAGAAGGTCTGGATTTGGTTCCCAGCACCCACATTGGGCATTTTATAATTACCTGCAACTCCAGTTGAGGCATTTAACATACCCACCTGGTCTACAAGGGTTTGCATATGGTGCATATACTAACCAACAGGCATATACACATGCAATTAATAAAAATAAAATTAAAAAGTCACCTTTTTGAAAATATGCTAGGAGTTACATAACCATGAATGCCAGTTTTCAGTACTTGGCTTACATTTTGATGTTCAGGGGATGAGAGGGCTTGGGGCCCCATAACTGGGTCTGGCTTTCCTTTCCTCATACCCCACAGTCCTGTATTCATGTGACTTCTATAGTGGGAATTTGCAGGAGAGCAAGAATTAGACGTGACTTTAGTCATTTTTGAGTAGCTGAAGATATCAGGGAGTCTGAGGGATTTGAGTGTCAAGAGATCACCATGGGGGGGGGTTACTGCTTCAAGTGCCCAGGTGGGTCTCGTTTCAAAGTTTCAAAGCAAGGTTACTCCAAGCATGAGTTAATTTGTTAGATACTCAATACCGCCCTCCCCTCCACACAATCCCCTTTGGGTTGACTTCACTAGAGTCTGAAGTGAAATTAGAGGCTGAACTCTGAGACAACCTGGAGGACTAAGGAGTATTGCACCGCCTCGGCCTCCAGTCCCGCTGCGCCGCACCAATCCCATAATCTTCTACTGAGGCAGTGTGGCCATGACCTCACCACAGTCAGCAGGGGTAGAGATCCCGTGGCAAGCATCCCTAGAAGGAAGGAAAATCAGCAGAGGCTCTCAGGATCTTTCTCATACAGGTAACCGGAGCGGCCAGCATCTCATCACAGGCATCAAGCTCTCCACGCAAGTAGGAATCAGCAACCGACTATGCTCAGAATAAGCTGAGACTTTGCCACCAGCCTCAGCTTCCCCTCTTGAGACTGGCTGCACGCCCGGGGCCCTAGGGCCAGGTGTGTCTCACTCGCTCTTCCCTAACCACCACCCAGTTCCCACGCTCCACAGCTCCACAGCCGACCGCGCCCTGGGTCGAGCTGCGTCCATAGGCCGGCGGTGCGTGCGGCAGCCTTGTAAGGCAGTAGCGGCCTCCTGTCTCGGTGCGCCGCGCTCGGTTCGGGAGGAGTCTCAGTGCGCGCCTAGGAGGGGCAGGAGGAGGAGGGGCATGTGGGAGGGGCTGGAGGGCGGGGCCCGGGCGGGAGGCTCCGAGAGCTCAGCGCCCCCGGGCGCAAGTCTAGTCGCGGAGGCGCACCAGCGGACTCATCTCCGAGGTAAGCTAGCACTGGGCGCTGTCCGTGGTCCGAGGCGCGGCTCCAGGGCCATAGGCTCCGAGCTCAGGTCTGTGAGTTTGGCCACCTGCCACTCTGCGGTGGCTCGATCACTGCTGGAGCAGTGGTTCCTCAGAGACCTCGGGGCAGTGGTGTCAAGAATGGGTATGCGTGTACACTGAGCCAAGCGCATTGCGTCGCTACTTAATACGGTGGACCGAAAGCACCCCACGGTTCCCCACCAGACCCAGGTGCTAGGCCTCGCCGGTCCTCGGGTCGCTTCCCTTGGAACCTGGTGGGAAACGGTGTATAGAGAAGCCACTGCCCCGAGCCGCGCATATAGGGGAGCAGGAGCTGCCCGGGCGTTCTCGGGTCTCGAATCCTGAGCCCGCGTTGCGTCCTGCAGGTGACAGAGCCTGTTCGCTCCTCCACTCTCCTTGCGAGCCCACCTCTCGCAGTCGAGACGGCGAGGTTTCTATCAGGGTCGTGTCTTGAACGCCCATGTTTGCGCGCGGGAGAGGGAGGATCCGATCCTTACTCGGAGGTTTCGGTTATGTAAACGAGGCCTTGAACGAGGTGAGGAAGACGAATAATGCCGTTTGTGGCGCGGCATTGGACAGGCTCTGCTGTCCTGGTGATCGGTTCTGTGCGTGTCCTGGGGCTTATGATGGCGTTCCACCCAGCGCCCATTTGCGTATTTGGCCTCTCTTAGCGGCGCAGGTGGCTCACATAGGCGGCCTGAGCTCCCTAGGAGCAATGGGGTGGGAGGTGGGGTGGGGGGCAGCTTGATTAGCCTTCAGCTGGGTTCTCAGGCGGCGGGCTGCTGTTTCTGCTCGCGTGCCAGCCCCTCTCCCGTCACGTGACCCCCTGGAGGACTGGCGAGGGGGAGGGGCACAATCTGAGCTTAGTGTCTGCAAAGGACTCCTCTATTCAGAAAAGCTCGTGATTGCCACAGGGACCCACCATTAGAAAAGGTGCCCTAGTTCAAGTGGCATATTGAAAATCTTTTGTCTTTGCCGATGGCGAAGTGAGAGTAACACGCGCAGTGGCACGATATCCTCCTGGTGCCCCTGGGATCCACCTTCTCCATTCTTCGAGGTTGGGGAAAATAGCAATTTTAGCAGTCACCTAAGTTTTTTTTTTTTTTTTTTTTTTTTTTAATAAGCATTGGAAATTTTCATTGAAGAAAATTGAAACCACCCATGAGGGGTGGAGGTTTTTGTGGAGATTTCTGGGCCCCGAAAAGAGCCCTCCTGGGTTCCACAGAGGTGAAAACTAGCTTCCTCAGCAGAGCCTGCTATCCTATTTATAGTGCACAACTGAAGGAGGAGCCTGTAGGAGGTGTGATTTCAGTTCTGCCAGGAAAGGGAATCTTGCAGTCATGTCCAGTCTTCCCCAATGCCCAGCAAGGCTGTGCCCAGAGAACCCATGCAGGAGAGTAGAGCTTCCCACTTCCCTCTGAGGGGAAGGGTTAGAGATGTTCAACCACAGCCTGGGTTCAGATACGGTGAACAGCCCTACAACCCTCGTGTGTCTCCTGCTGCTGATTGAGCCAGGTAAGACCAGCTTCCTCTTAGACAAGGGTCACAGTGTTTCAACCTTAGCATCCTCTATTTACAGCCAGGGCTTCCCTTGTCCACAGCATCCTACTACCCACAACACCTTCCAATCAAAGCAACCTCGCCCATGGCAGCCACCACCCATGGCCCTACCAGTGACCCACAGGAATCTCCTTATGGCATCTTCCACCAATGGCATCACTCATTCAGGTCACTCCCAACCTAAGGCAGCCCCACCAAGGACCCCCAGCATCATTCCATAGCACCGTCAGATCTGAGATCCATCTTACCTCTGCAATATGTGGGAAGCCTCCTCCCAATGTCTTATGCCAGTCCCATGAACATCTCTGCTGGGGTCCCAGAGGATACGGTTTCAATGAACTGAAACCTGTACTTGTGTGCTCTTCAGATGGCTTACTGTTATCAGGCTAAAGTCCACGGACAGAATGCCAGTTCCTGATGAAGAATGAAACCTTCTTGGGTCCATCGTCTCTCCTAACTGAGTGATGTCACTCAGCTGTAAGCTGTGTTTGATGTCTAGATGTCCAAATACAAGGTTTTCTTTGGTCTTTCAGGCAAATGTGAGGAGAGTGGTTCATGAATCGTATCTCAGGCTCCTCTCCTGCCTGCCAGATGGCTGGCTTCTCAAGGTCCCTCCCATAGGGACCCTGCTCAGCACCTCCTGGCAGTCAATCCCGTTGCCCTTTGTCCTGTGGTAGAAAGTGTGGGGGTAGAAGGATCTTACCAATCTCACTTTATCCCCGAACACTTGTGTTTCTGTTATTGTTGTTATGTTTTTTGTATATATTGGACAAATCAGTGTTTGTTGTATAGAACAAGAATCTTTCCTTATTTGATCTTTGCCCTTTTAGTCTGTTAATACCCTTTGATAAGCATTAGTCTTTAATGCCATTCTGGTGCTGTTTACAATCTTTTCCATTTGGCAGTGTGTACTGTATTTCCTGTGGCAAATCTTCCCTACCCAAGAGTATTTGACCCCGGGCAGTACTAGATGGGCACAGGAGCTCAGCCTCCTCAAGTTCCCTGTAGGTGTGTCATGTGTTTGTTCTACATCTTTGCTCACCTTGTCTGTGCACTTCCTGTTTTCTGCCCCTGCACATAACAGTCGAAGGTGAGATGGGTGTCACAGAAGACAGTGCCATATGTAGTTACATGCAAAACTCAGTCTACTTGGACTGACTTCCCAGGACCTCTTGTTCTAGTCCCATCTGACCCTCTGACCCCCTCCCATGGCTTTGCCTTCATGGGGCCCTGCTTCCTCTTCTGGTCAGTGTTTAGGAGTTGTGTGACTAAAGATGACATAAGCCCATTCTGCTACAGTTCTGGAAGCCAGAAGTTCAATGTATCAGGTAAGATGTGTTTGGCCCGGGCTCTGGCAGGTCCTTCCTGCCTCTGGGCTTCAGGTTTACTCAGGCATTGCTGGCCTTATGCTTTGACACTCTGACAGTCTAGAGGTCTTCTTGTAACTCTCTCTCAAGCCTACTTATGCTACTCCTACCAATGTTGGGGAATTTATACAGAGCTAAAATGTATTTCTCACAATTCTGGGGGCTGAAGTCCACAATTAAGAGTAGCTGCTTCCAAGGTAGTGCCTTCTTGGAGCATTCTCCAGAGGAAAGGTCAGGCCCCATGTCATTACATGATAAAAAAGGCCTCAGCCAATTCCTCACAGCCCTCTTGGGAGATCTTACTCCACTCATAAGAGCCCAGGACCTGATTTATTCCCTTCCTCCCAGAAGTCTCATGCTTTTGGAGAGATACATGCAGACTCAGCACTGTCTGGTTTCTGTCTTACAGGGGGAACTGGCATACAATTTACCTTCCAACTGTGGATAATCTAGGTTGACTTCATGTCGAGACCTTATTTCCAAACCAGGTTCCATGCAGAGATCCTGATCCTGGTTGGTCAGCCCCTGTTAGGTAGCTGCCTGGCCCAAGTTCAGCTGCAACAGTCTTCACAGCTCCTCTCACTATTCAAGGACAATGCTGAGATGTGTGGCATGCAATTTGGGAGTGCTTATGTACATTTGGTGATCATGAAGCTGTGTTGATGCTGAGTTAGGAACTAGAGATTTACAGGTTCATCAGCATCCTTAGGACCTGCCACATGGAGCCTCTAAAGGGAACATGATGGCAGACCCTGGCATGTTACTGTAAGATAGGCACTTGAGGGAGTGGCTATGTGGCATCTCTGCTGTGACTCTGCCCCAGAACGTGAACCCACAATAACCACACCTCTTGATCTTGAATTGTATGCATCTGTAGAATTCTGTGTTGGCAAATATTTTGGAGGATGGTTTAGAAATGGTGTTTGATCAGATGATGTGATGGGATTTGATTTCAGTACTCTTTACTGGCCTTAGTTGTCTAGAGCCTAGAGCTCATACTAAATGCTATGAATGTGGGGGCTACCCTCTCTTACTCTCCATTGACATTTCTACAGCCATCTAAGACAATGGGGAAACCTAGTCTCTGCCTGGACAGTGGGGACAACCTTACGGAGTCATTGGACACTCCGGAATGTCTCCTGGTTCTTCTACATGCTCAGTCTTAGGCTTCCACTTAGTGACTGACAAGGGTTTGTTGTATTCATCATTTTTAGAAGGTATTTCTGTGACTGCCACAACCAAGAATGGTTGCTATTCTCATTCTCTTTTCTTTTTCTAGAACTGTAAGCCACATGTTCAAATGGTCACACCGAATCCTTATTCCCTACTAAGGGGCAGTCAGGGCAACATTGTGAGCAAGGCTTGGCATGTGAATTCCAGGAAGGTAGGGACACTGGGTAGCCGGGCAGAGCAGCCAGTGGCTTTGGGGAGTTCTGGGCCCATTTCTGTTGCTCTAGATATTGAATACAAAGCAGGGTGTAGGTGGATAGAGGGGTCTAGGACTTTCTTCAGTTTTCTACCTCCCTTGGTTTCCCATTCTCCTTGCCCAGGATTCCCCTCTCCTAACTTAAGAATGGGGTTTTCTGGAGCATGTAGCTCTGCTCTACCTACAGTCAAGCTCAGGCCAGGGGTATAGGAAATGAGTGGACATGAATACTGGGCTCCCCTTTCCCTACAATGCCCAGGAGACTTGTGTTCTGTTTGGCCTAGAAACAGTGAGAAGCATAGAGTTTGGTTCTCAGGTCACTCTGTAGGCAGCAGCCTAGCCTTCGGACCCCAAGAGTGACTGAGACTGTGCTCCATCCTGGGCAGCCCTAGTCATACTCCGGGCTGTAGCCTTCTGGATGCACTATGCAGATGTGGCATGGGTGACAAGGGGCCTGGCTGGGTTTCCTGATAGATTTGGGCTTGTGGCATTGCCTCTGTGTGCCTGCAGGATACACACATTCAGAAAATGCCCACTTTGTGTGAGTTCACTTTTTCAAGGGACGGCAGTCCCCATTGAGATAAGAGGCCTCTCACATGGAGGACCCTGATGAGGAGCAGGGTGTATGGTTGTATTATTAGTGAAACGAACAATTATCAAAGGATGTGTTGTGTGTAAGGACACTCTAAAGTACAGAGCTGGTACAGGGCAGGCTGCCTGTGTCCCATCCTCAGATGAGCACTCTAGGTCTGGTCGGATGTGTCTACATCCCACACACTCAGCCTCACCCTGTTCTTACGTGGGGTCCCATAGGACTCAAGCCTTGGTGGGATGTAGTGTGGGGGAAGCGAGCTCCAAGTGGATACTGTCCATTTCTTCTCCTCATCTTAGCCAGATCTCTCTCTCTCTCTCTCTCTCTCTCTCTCTCTCTCTCTCTCTCTCTCTCTCTCATTTCAGGGCACAGTCTTTCTAGTTGGCTGTGCCTGGGCTCACTTTTGTTGATGAGGCCTGTGGAACTGAGAACCGCTTGGCTGGTGGTCAGGGATTTGAGTGGCATGAGTCTTATTCATGGGCACTGGTCACATTCACAGATGCCTTCTCTGCTCATGGGCACCTTGTCCTGGTTGTAGGCTTCTGGTTGTAGTAATAGATTCCTTTCTCTGCTTACAGACTATTTACTGATGCCCTCATTTCCCTTTCTCCTTAATGGGGCTGTGCCCTGAGGTGTGTAGCATTGATTCTTGGTGACAAAGTCTCTCCTTTGTCACCTTTAGGTTTTTCTTGCTTTTTTTTCCTTTTGATGGTGGAGGTACATGTGGGTATGTGTTTGGGTGTACCATGTATGGTTGTGCATGTGTGTATACATTTGGCAGCCAGAAAGCAACCTCACTGTCATTTCTTAGAACTCACTAATTAGATTAGGCTCAATGGCTATTGCTCTGTCTCCATCTCCCTAATGTATAGGGGGATTGTAAGTACAAACTTACAATTGTTTGTTTTGGTTTTTGAGACAGGATTTCTCTATGTAGTTTTGTAGACCAGGCTGTCCTTGAACTCACAGAGATCTGCTTGCCCCTACCTCCCTAGTGCTGGGATTAAAGACATGTGTCACCACTGCCCAGCTGATTTAAAAAAAAAAACAACAAAACAAACAAACAAAAAACCAAAACCAACCAACCAAACAAACAAAAAAACCCATGGGTTCTAGGAATCAAATTCATCTCTTCAGCACTAATTGATCTCTCTCCCAAACTAACTGGTATGTTTTTCTTTAAAAAATTAGTTTATTTTTAGGATTTGCTTCAATATTTTTCATTCTGAAAAAAAGGGGGGTTCAATTGATTTCCTGTGTGCTTTGTTGGGAACAAGTCAATCCTTTGGAGTTGGCAACAAAGACTTGGGGCGTATAGGATGCAAGAAAATCTGCTTGAGCTAAGGGGGTCTTTGGGGTTTGCAGAAAACCCAGTCCCTGCATCTGTCCCTGTTCCCTTCCACTGAAGATCCGTAATTCTACCTCTATCTGGCCTCTCTTGCCCTCCTCAGGCCTGGTCTGGAGATGCAAATCTGGTAACATAGTCTGTCCCTACACCAGTGCTGCTGTGGATACATTACCATCTCCCGTCCTCCTGACCCCTCAGGGAACACAAGCAGTCATTGCTGGGCCACCGCCTGGCGCCACCCTCCTCCTCCACCATACCTGCTCCCAGGGCAATCACTCTGAAGGAGGCTGGTCCAGTAAAGGGCATGTGCCATGCCGATAGGATGGAGTTTGGGGTGCTTCCCTTCTGGCTGAGAGATAATGAATTATAGGCCATCGGGAAAGTGTTATAAGCCATATCCTAGGGATACAATGCATATCTAGGATACATACTTGAAGTGTAAAACCCACACCTTGAAGTGCAGAGTACACGTGAGATGTTGTCCCTTGAACACCACACTTGGTGGATCAGGTGCCTTCTCAGAACCTCTTCTAAGTGGCCTAACTTCCATGGTGGGACACACCAAGGTCTCTTTAAAGTTTTCCTCAGGTGCCGTGGGGCAGGAAAACCAGGAGGCCAGGGCCTTTGAATGGAGGTGGAGAGAGGCTGTAGCTGGCCACCCTGCAGTGCTAGAGGAGTGAAGGGGAGAATTAGCCTGTAGGTACCTCCATATTCCAGGGTGCCTTGGTTGCAGTCTCAATTCTCTTTAGATTCAGCTTTTTTTTTTTTCTCACTGCTGCTGTTGTGAGCTAATGGAGCAGCTCACATTAGAAGAGACAGCCTGTAGATAAGAGCCCTCTGTCCTCACAGACTACTCCTGGGTATGCTCTGATAGCACAGCTCCTTTTCTTTCTCTGTCACAGAACAAGTAATAGTTTAATGGTCTTTGTATGGCCACAGTTTGGACCTAACCCATTCTTATTTTAAAGAACTTTTGTGGTATGTTATGCAGGTGATACATGATCAGGGTAAAACCAAGCAAAGACGTAAGTAGAGTCTGGACTGCAGTCCCCAAGCATCACCCAGGGAAGGGTCCCAGCCCTCCTGTATCAGCCTATCCTTCATGTAAGTGTGTTGCTGGTGCCCTTCGGTGTTTGCTACGTACGTCTTGTACTGGGCTGATCCTGCTGAAAAATCTTGGCACTCGGGCTCTAAAATAGTGTGGCCATGCTGTCAGTTACCCAGTGAAGCCATAGATGTCAGCTGCTCTGCCACGGGGTCCAAAAAAGCTCCAGGCTGACTTATTCCAGGGCTGAGTTTAGACGGGTTCTGCTTTGCAGACTAGCAGCAACTTGAATGTTACTTCAGACTCCGATTGATAGCTTTGTGCAGATGCCTTTCAGTCTGCACTGATGCCCTGACTCCTGAGTAATGATCACTCATCTTTCTAGAGTGTCACAGCAACCAATAAGCTCTCTGAGCTCTCTCTGCAACCCCTGGTACCCTGGATGTGGGGCTGCAAGTGAGGGTCATCCCCAACCCCTGTGCTTCTGATTCCTTCTATGAGGACCATCCTCACCCTGGTTTCTGTCCACAATCTAGTGGGGCCAATGTGCTGTAGGAACCTGGACAGAACGCAGCTGGCACCTGTCTGAGAAGGAGTGGCCTCATCAGTATGAGACATGCCCTCATTCCTAATGTGCCACTACCCAGCTGCTGGTTTGCTCACTGTTCTTTTGCTTGGTTTGAATTTGTTGCTTGCCAGATCTGACCTGCCTTAGTGTCCCTCAGTCTCAGAAGGGGCAGAGCCCCTCTCGTGTTTCAGTATCCTGTGAGGGCTCAGGGCAGATGCTCAGATAACCTATCAGGTGCCTGGAGTTGATTCACCATGAGTCATGTCTTGTGGGGATGCAGGAACTCCTGAGCTTCACACTGATAGAGCTTCCCGTTTAACCTTGCCGTTCCCATCTTTTCTGTTTTGGCCCCCCAGAGAAGCTCCATTTTGGGGTGAGTTGGAGTGCCTTAAGAAGAGTCTCATTAAAAAGGCTGAACTTTTCTGTTACACTTTTATTACTGTTTTCACAGGAGGTGAGCAAGAAGGGCACCTGGCCCAGTGAATGACTGCCATCTGTGTTATTCTGCCTTTTGATGGAACTCACACCACTGTGAGTTCAGCAGGGGCCATATTTCTCATCCCTTGGTGGTGACGATATGCCTTGGCCACATTGCCATTGAGATCTCCGGTTTGGACAGGGTCTGCACATTTTAGCTTTGTCACTGATTCTCTATGGAGTTCTTCTCCTTACATTGAGCTGTTAAGCTCTCAGTTCCCAGAAATGTGCTAACTGGGAGCTCATCATCCCTACCCCCTGAGCTGGAAATGCATGTGCTCACCCTTGCTGGAACAACAGTGGCCATGACAGAATTATCTGCATATGTTTGTGCTTCCGAGTCTTGTTGGGAAGTGATAACCCCCTCCTAGGTGTTCTTAGCTCTCAGGGATGTCTGCCTGTCTTGGTAATCAACAGCCCAGAAAACCCAAATACTATGGCTATACTTTAGGCTTAATTCACTATGGGTTCCCTCCTCTGAGCCCAAGGACCAACCACATGTTCTAAGATCCCAGGGCAGGCTCTTATTTTGTGTGTCTAGGGTCACTTACCACCCTAGACTCGGCCTCCGCTCAGAAGGCTCAGATCTGAGGGACAGTAAGCATGGTATGACTGGCCTGGATCCTAAAGATGACATCATTTTATAGACCCTAAGCATTCTTTCAAGCAATCATTCACAGCAAGTGAGGCCCAGGGAGGCCATGGAAAAGCAGCTGGTGGAGTCAACGTAGAACCCACTGTTGCTGAGTCAGACCCTGTCTCCTTTTCCCAGAGCCTGCATCTGTCAGGCTGTCAGGGTCAGTGCCAGGTCCAACAGCTGGACCAACAGTGTCCTGTGCGGCATTCAGCTCAGAGGGAGGGTGCTCTTCAGCTCTTGACATATCTTGTTGCCTGGTACCACATACTGCAGCTAGAACTAGGGAGACAGATGGGCTGTGAGGAGCAGAATGACCCCTTTCTTTCTCTTCCCTAGCAACATGGCTGACAGCAAGGCCAAGCCTGCCAAAGCTGCCAACAAGACACCACCCAAGTCCCCAGGAGAACCAGCCAAGGACAAGGCTGCTAAGCGGTTGTCACTGGAGTCAGAGGGTGCCAATGAGGGGGCAGCTGCAGCCTCTGAGCTCAGTGCCCTGGAGGAAGCCTTCCGGCGGTTCGCGGTGCATGGGGACACCAGGGCAACAGGGAAGGAGATGCATGGCAAGAACTGGTCGAAACTGTGCAAGGACTGCCACGTGATCGATGGGAAGAATGTGACTGTCACTGATGTGGACATTGTCTTCAGCAAGATCAAGTAAGTGTCATGCATGCTTTGGTACCACAGCTTATATCAGCTGTGTGGCTCTGTGAAGTATCTTGCTTGCAGATTCTGGATGCTTGAAGCTAGGAAGTGGGCACAGAACCTGTAGTGTCTAAGACAGTCTTGGGAGTACATTGGCTCTCAGTGCCTTGGAATTCCTTGGCCATGACCTGAGCCTCAGTCTGTCTGGTCTTGGATGTAGCCAGGGTGTGTGTGTGTGGGGGGGGTGTTCTGGCCTTGAGAAAACTTACTTAACTCTAACCAATACCCAGGTTAGTGAGTTGTTCCTAGACGTGATCAGGATCTGCTCAGGTGAACAGAGACCTGGCCACCATGGGCTGAGTCTATGAGGTTAGTGTGAGGGCCATGCCTGTTTGACCTTGCTTCTGGGATATGACAGTCTCACAGGACAACCTCTTCCAGCTCCTTGTCCATCTCCGTTAATTTTGCACTTGAGAAATGCTCACGTATGCAGCCAAAGTGACACAGATTAAAAAAAAAACAAACAAAAACAAACAAACCGCCCTTCAGCCACTATGTTGTCAGAAATCTATGTGCTGTCAGGTCCTGTGGCTGATCTTTGTGGGTGTGCTAGCTGAACATTACTTCCTCCTCTGGCTCTGGGTGGGCCATACGCTCTTCATAACAATGGTTGCTGATCATCATTTTGCTTGTGGACTTGAAAGTATTCTCTAGGTACAGGAAGGCTTCCCTGCTTCCCCCCCCCCCCCCCGGTTGTGCACTCTTGCCTGGAGGGTCTTTCATTAACAGGTGGGAAGGTAGAAGCGGCCTGGCATATGGCTCCTGAGAGCTCCAACAAGTATCTCATGCCAGGAATCTAGGCATTCCAGGCAATGTGGAGGATTTAACATGTGTCCTAATGGAAAGAGGTAAAGGAAGCCAGAACCCAGATGCAGGGCACCATGACCAGGGGATTTGGGATGTTGACATCTTTCAGTTCTAGATGAAGCCCTCTATAGCTTCCTCCAGATCCTGGTTGAGAGAGATGCAAGAAGGCTGAGCGAGAATTTTCAAGGTCCTAGGCCCTAGGAAGGGGTTCTGTGGAGATCATGAGCCAGAGCCTAGCTGTCTCCACCCATCCCAATGCTGATATCAACCTTGCTGTGTACTGGGAGTTTGAGGTTCTGCCAGGAAGAAAATCTCAATTCCATGCTTCCTGGCGAACTTCCCATTGCACAAATTACATGAGATTGTGTCTGGAGCATCTTAGGTTTGAATGGTTGGACTGGAAAGGCCGAGGAAAGTATCCTGAAGGGGCTGTGCATCCTAACCCTCTCCAGGCTCCACTGACCCCAGAGAACTCTGAAGGGAAGTCTGAACTGGTGCATTCTGCATGCTCTGTCTCCTTGAGGCTTTCAGCTCCAATGAGAAGAGCCTCCACAAAGCCTCAACCTCTGGAAGCAGATGCTGTGTGTACCTAATTATCTCTAGTCACCCTTTCCAATCCATCTCAGACCCTGTTCCTAGTTGTCTCTGCGAAAGCTCTCATCTCTACTCTGGCTGGGTTCTGTTGTGATAAGTCCAGGACCAGTTCCTTCAAAGCCTATCAGGAAAAGACACTTGGCCAGGGATCCTATGTACTTCTAGACTGTGGTCTTTGGGTTTCTTAACACGTTCTTTCTCCATAGCTTCTTCTGTGTGCAATGTTGTTAGGTAGCACTGACCCAAAGAGGAGGGTCTACTGAACACCATATATTCATTCTATTGCTTTTATAGGAAGGACCCAAGACACAGAGTCAGGAGACGGCTCTTTCCTCTGTCTCTAAATAGGACAGCATAGTCATTGTTGATAGGGAGCCATGAGGAGTTTACAGGATAAAGACACAGGCATATGCATGCAGCAAAATGTCTATCAGCTTGAAGGACCTCCACACTGATGCTGCTCCATAGATGACCAGGATATCTTGACACTTACAGTCCCTGAGACCTTCTAAATTTCACCAAAGTCACTACCTCTGAGTTTGGGTTTTGACACCACCATTGGCCTTGTCTGTGGGGAGCTTACCCAGGATTGGTAGAGCTCAATGTGCTGGTCACATGGCCTGTCTCAGCTGTCAACTGCTGGGAAATGTGTAGCCTCCTCAAAGAAACTGGCCTTAACGGTTCCACTGGACGGTTCCAGGCAGGAACAGACAGGTGGGTCCTTGTAAACAAAGGTGCTCTTGCAGGTTGACCAACCATGAATGAGGGGCACTGACCCAGGCTGCAAAAATGATCAGCACTAGAGCCTCTGTTATAGCCAAATCTCTCATCTTAGTATCAAGCACTCGTGTTAGGCCAGTAACCATGCCCCACAACAGAGACCTAGAAAAACCAGGTTAGCTATGTCTAGCATCTGCATACAGTTAAAGCTGATTGTTTTATGGGACTCACCACCATATCTAAGCTGGCGAATGAACTTGGACAGCTCCTTGCCTTATCTCTCCCCATGTTTCTTCTCCATAGCAGGTGGCCCTTTCAGACCCAGCCCTGAGCTTACCAGAACCCCTGGAAGCTATTCCTACACTGGGAGCACATAGGGTGTCTTTTAAGCAAAGCCAGTGGGATCACCAAGCTCTTCTCCTAGTGGGTGGTACTATGTGGTCATGGATGATGTGGGCCACAAAGGACTGAGAGAGAACTCCAACTCCACATGCCCTTCCTGCTGTGGGGGTGGAGATGGGGGCATTAGACCCATATGAGGGAGCCATGTGAAGGGAATGCTTATTCCCTGAATAAAGAACTTTGGACACTCAGACTCCAGGACCATCCTTCACTGTAGACTCTGGGCTGCCTGGGTACCTTGGAGGGTCCCTGCCTTGCAAGCCCAGAGAAGGCTCAAGGCTATGCTAGTCTAGGCAGACAAGCTGTAAGCGCTGTATTCTGATGCCAGCTGTGCTTGCTGAGCAGGTGTCTAACTGGGTGGCTGGGGAAGCCCAGATGAGGATCCTGCACTGAGGGGAGGCCCAGAAACTCTGACATTCCTTTTGCCTTCACACGTGGATCCTTGGGACTCCAGAGGCTGCCATTCCCTCACCTCTACCATCTTTGAATTCTCCTTCTCTCTCAGAGCCCAGACTCCTTTGAGGTTTCCTATGACCTATGTCCCACTTGGAACATCTCTGTTCTTGAGGAAGTTCCTCACCTCACAGGCATGTGTGAACAGAAGAGTCAGGCTCATGTTGTCTTCAAGTGTAGGGGGACAGTATCCCGAGTACCAGGATGGTGGGAGAACACTGAGAGGGATCCGCTCTGGGACTGAGATTTCCAGGAAAATTGTGGCTGTGGTGGCACTGTTTGTATTATGAGAGCTGGGTGTTTGTGGTCCCTTGAGGGACAGCAATGGCAGCTGCAGAGGCCTTTGCCTCCTATGGGAATTTGGGGCCTGGGAGGAAATTGCTTAGGTACCTCCAGGAAGTTGCTGACTCTGACAGGACTTGAGAGAAAAAAAGTTCAACTATTTCTGTTTTGGGGCAGGTTGCCATGGCTCTGCAGGCGTGGCGCCAGCTGGGGTATCTGCAGCCTTTGTTTAGGTCCTTGTCACCATGGCAGCGCTTGTTTGTTTTGATGTTACTATGTGTTAAATTTTAAACAAATTTCTTGAAGCTCTATACCAACTTTTATTGTGGACTACTGTTAATCTAGACTCTCCATCCTGCAAAAAAGGCTCAGCATGGCCAGTTTCCACAGTTAATGGAGACCTGACACCGAAGCGAGGCTAGGGAGGTGGGTGCAGCTTGGGAGACACCTGGGGGCCCTAGGGCTCACATCTGTGTGTGACTGTCTATAATGGGTCTATGTGCCTGAGTGTCTGGTTTGAACCTGCATGCGCTTGTGAAAGGAGAGGTGCAGGAGCCTCGGGGTTGGGCTGGGCTTATCTCCTGCCCGCCTCGTTATTTTGACCACCACACTACCAGATGAGGAGGCCCAGAAATCTTTGGCCTTTCTGGGCCTGGATTGTTTGTGTGTTGGGTACCCTCCAGAGTAAATGCACGGATTCCTGCCAACACTGTGCAGAGTCAGAAAGTAACTTGGCTGGGGTGTCAGGGCTGGGTGTCCATTATGTCTGGATACAGGTCAGAAGGAACTAAAGCCAGTCCCTACATGTAGAAATTAGGGTCTAGATTTGTCTGGCCTGAGGATTTGTCAGCCACTGCTGAGTATATGAGCTGCTTTGTGTTCCTTACATGCCACAGCTAGTCAGCAAGGCTCAGCATAGCAGCCACCTGGGCTAATGTAGCCCATTACTCCCAGTAACAGGCCCCAGGGCTGGAGAGAGCCGTGGCAAGAGTTTTGGGAACCCACTGGAAGGACAGGGTTCTGTGTCTACCCGCCCAAACGTCACAGAAATCTAGATGTAAAGAACCTTGGACATGTGAGGACCCTTGGAGGTAGCCTCTGTCCCTGACTGTGGGACCCACCCAGTTCCAGTCACCTATGGCACACATGTCCCTGGAGTTCCTCCTTCAGGCTCTACTCCCTTGGTCTTGGGTAAGAACTAGCAGTCACATGCTCCAGGGAAAAGTGGCCTGACCCTGCAGGCTTTGAATGGAGCAAGATCCAGCATGCATAGTCTTCAGGTGTCCCAGAGCCTGAAGCCTTGCTGCTATTCTTACTTCTGCATGGCCCTCTAGTGGTTACATGTAGCAGTGCAGTGTGACCCCTCAGGATGTCTGCAGGGAAACTCAGGTGGAGGACAGACAGGACATGTAGAACTTTTTTTGCCTGATAATCATTTGGGCTAGTGATCCTTTGTGGTCAAGGCTTCATGTGCTCTGGTGAGTCTGCAGTAACCAGGTAAGGATCAGGCTGTTGTGACGGGAGGCATCTTTCTGCTCCTCGGCTCCTCCACCTTGCCGTGGGAAGCTCGCTGGCCAGTGCATGAAGGACATGCAGGAGAATGAACATCCATAACTTACCGAACACTTGCAGGAACATCTAACCTCATGGCTTACCCCTACTCAGTCCAGGCCAGAGCCTTGAGGAGATGGGGGCGGGCAGACGTGGTGCTCATTTGGGGTCACCTGGGTAATGGTAATCTCACAACTTCCAGCCCCTTGGAAAACACTAAGTGACAAGTGAGAAGACGCTTTGAGATGATTTGATCCCAACAGAGGGAAGTAGCAACATTGCAGGCCACAGATGCCCACTCTAAGCAAGCTGGTGACTGCCTGTAAACGGACGTCTGGAATGTGTCCAGAGCAGGAACACAGCAGTGTTGCTGTACGGCCTCTGATTTCCTGAAACAGGCAGAGTCCTTGCGGCTGACCGGCATCCAGGCCCCTCTGGGCAGAGAGCTCATCTCCTGCTCCCAGGGGACTTCTTGAGTCCAGTGACCTGCTGAGGGTACAGAGAACTGACAGGCCTAGGCTTTCAACAGCATCAGCATTGTCTTCCGAACAGAGCGCAGGGCGGGGCCTTGTGGTAGAGTCAGTGGGCATGGGAGAGACCTGAGAAAGGAACAAGAGAGTGGCATCTGAAGAGAATGACAAGGTTTCTGCACACCCCCCCCCCGAACACATTTAAAGAGTCAGAGACATTGATAGCAACAGGCAACTTGAGGTCCATGGCAGCTGAGACTGCTCTGTGGTTCAGCAGGCACAGGTCAGCTCCCTATTTATACAGAAGGCCTGCAAGGTGGGGGGGGGCTTCCTATGGGGTAGCATCCCTGCTAGGCAGGGTCCTGGACTAGAGGTCCTCACTGCCCAGGGGCCCCTTCCAGGTCCTTCAGCTGCCCTTCGACCATCACAGGTACGGAGAGGGTATATCTTTCTACTCTCAGAAGCACCCTCTCTGTCTGCGTGGTATCTAGCTAACAAGGGTACTCCCTGGTGGTTACTTCAGAAGCAACAGCTTCTGTAAATTCCAGGAACTGAGAAGCCCAGGCATCCCCGTCTTGTCCTGCACACTCCACTCCTTCCTTCACCCCTTACCAGTTTCATTACTTATTCCTCAAGCCTTGACAGGGACCCCTTCACAAAGGCGATGGATGGGCTGGGCTAGGGGCTCTGTGAAAGCCCAAAGCTGAGATGGGGAGTGGTAGTATTTGTGGGATTGGCCACAAAAGGAGTAGACCTTCTTCAGAGGGCTCTGTGGCCTGACGCTAGGTCCTAACGCACCTAGCCAGGTCCCAGGGTTCCCAAGAGACTGAGAAAGTGTCCTGCACGTATGGGGACAGGGCCTGGGGTGCAATCCCAGGCTCCTGGAGGACATTTGAGCAGACAGCCACTTGTAGGCCAGCTTTAGACAGCTTGGGAACCAAAGGCAGGGAAGGCCAAGCCCTAGAAAGGGCCCTCAGTCCTGGGGCCTCTAGGTACAGGCTCACTGTGTAGGAGAACCCTGCCGTTTTCACTTCTATGAGGAAGAAATGGGCATTGTCTTCCCAGAGCTAGTTGGGGATTCTGCTTCAAGAAGTGCCTGGGTCTCCTGGGAGTTCCTTGTGAACTGGGAACCGAAGCAGGTCCCCCTCTCCCCAACAGCACAGTTAGATTTATGGGGACACGGGCCAGAGGGGATTCTTGGTGCCAGTGGAACAAACACCCATCTCTATCTGAATGTGGTCTGTGATGGAAGAACCCCTCAGTTACCCCATCCCCCAGTGACTCATGCTGGTGGTGCCTGGTGCCGAGGCTGCCCAGAAAGAGCTGTGTGCCCCAGCAGTTGATTGCCAGGCTGGGCATTAGGCCTGGCATCCTCATGTCAGCCCAGGAAGGGTTGGGAGTAGAAGACAAGAGCGCCTTTGACTTCTCAGGACAAACAGAGCAGCCCTGAGGGGCATTAAAGCAACACATCCTCCAAGGTCCTAGCAGAGAGGGGAAAGCTGTCAGCTCCAGGCACCACTGGACCATGAGGCCAAGCTGCTCAACTGCCCTGGACCACCCAGTATGTCGGAGATAGCTGGGAAGTGCTGGGGCTGAGCACTGAAGGACTAGAACCCACCCTCTAAGACACAGGCATCTACTGAGGCTGCATTACCTGAAGCACAGGCAGTTCTGCAAGATTCTAGGACCCTGCTGTCCCACTGTAATGTTGTATCTTTGATCCAAGTGTAACGCCTCAGTGGCTTCCCCAATCTCCTGAGATGTAGGTGTAGCCCACGGCATGGGGTTCTGTGCATGCCCCAAAGGATATTTGGCTCAGCGCTCCTAGTTGTTTGTTTAGAATGCCCATGTGTTCAGGACTAGTGTAAAGTGTGAGATTCTTCTAGGCAGCAGTAAAAATTGAGGGTGTTTGGGAACTTCTGGTTCCTTAGCCCAGCCACTAGGGGTCCACCTTGTCACTGTGTTGTCCCAGGTGTATCCTCACGGTGCTGCCCACAGGCTGCTTTATGGGGCCTCTGCTAAAGGACATCTGGGTGCTTTTCCGATTTGAATGACTGAAGAAAATCTGTACAATGTTCACGGATGGCTTTAACATGAGCTTAAATCTTTCTTCGTTTCGTTTCAAGCAGCTCTCCCTAGCCCGGAAGACTGGCTCATGGCCATTCCTCCTTAGCAGCAGCAGTTACTTTCCCCCAGTGTGTATGCTGTTCTCTTGGGTGACTTGATGGTTTCCCATCAATGGGTTTTCCTTGGGGAGGTATCTTGTCCAAATACTTGGCCCATTCGAAATTTTCTTTTCTTTTGGTTTTTCCAGACAGGGTTTCCCTGTGTAGCTTTTGGAGCCTATCCTGGAACTAGCACCTATAGACTAGGCTGGTCTCAAACTCACAGAGATGCTGAAATTTTCTTTTCTTACTGTTAAGTTCTTTGCATATTTCAGATACAAGGCCCTTTTCAAGTTAGTGTGTTCCAAGTATTTTTTTTTTTCCAACTCTGTGGTATTTATCTTCAATGTCATTTAAAGAACATGGCTCTTAATATTCTGAAGTCCAGCGTGCCCATTTTCTATTATTGAACACGATGATTTGGCATCATTTCTAAGAAAACCTTGCCCACCCTAAGGTCACCCAGGTTATCTAGATACATGTGAGAAGGTTAGCTCTGGAGTCCTGCTCTGAGTTATCTCTGCACATGGTGCGAGCTGTTGGTTTATTTTGCAGAGGTAGCAGTTATTCCAGTAAATTTTTTTTTTTTTGAAATAGTCCTTTCTCCTTGCACTTGTTCAAGTTAGGTACCCGTGTGGGCATTTCTGGGCTCCAGATACCCTGATCTGTATGTCTCTCTCATACTGTCTCCTCCATGATACTTGGTGAGGTGTCTTGGACTAGTGTTTTCTTAAACTCATCTTGTCTGCTCTGGAGCCTATGCTGATAGACAGTCATAAAAGCCACCTGGGGTTTTGCCAGTCAGCTATTTTAAAGTCCTGAACTCTTAGCACTGCAGCTGGGGTCAGTGGCATGCCTGGCCATAAGAGGTAGCTTATATCAGGCCATTTGTCTAAAACTCCCCAGCAACATGCAGGCCTCGCAGACTTGGGCTTCATTCACAGTATGTGAGAACATTGAAAACTTAACGAATTTGGGTTAGTTGGAGGTGAAGTTGAAAATGGTTTAAAGTACAATTACAATAAAAACTTTATAACTTTTTAAAGGTACTACCTGAACAGCCTTTGGAGAGAGGTTTTTGTGAAATGACAGGGTATCTAGGGTGCTCCCAGGTGGCTGGGTTCACGTGGTGGGTTAGTGCTTCAAGTCATCCTGCTGACCAGGCTGCTCGGCACTGCTCACTCTTAGGACCCTGATCAGGGACAGGTGTTAGAGCTCCTTCTAATCTTGCCTACTGTGATAGCCATAGCCTTAGGCCCCTCCTGGACCGCTTTTGACCGGGGTGTAGGCCTGGGCTTCCTCTTGCTTCTTGACAGGCTAGGGTGTGTTCCTGCAAGAGATAAAGGGATCTTCTCTCCTGGGTTTCCCTCTGTCCTCGCACCCAGGAGAGACCACACTGCCTGTTGTGGAACAGACAGAAACGTCCTGACACTCAGCAGTTCTTAAAGAATATGCTTTCTTCACTCTTTCCAGCCTGTTGGCAGTGGCTGGTGGGTTTTGGCCATGACCAGTGGGGATTATTGCAGAATGCAGGAAGGGACGGTATACATGTGGGGTTGGTTCTGGAGGACCGCGCTACCTGAGGACTTAAAAGGTCTGTCCCCCACAGAGGGAAGTCCTGCAGGACCATCACTTTTGAGCAATTCCAGGAGGCGCTGGAGGAGCTGGCTAAGAAGCGGTTCAAGGATAAGAGCAGCGAGGAGGCTGTGCGTGAGGTGCACCGGCTCATTGAGGGACGATCACCAGTCATCTCTGGTGTCACGGTGAGGGGATGAGGCACGGGCGGGGGCTTGGTACTCTTGCTTGCATCTGCCCTTGGGGAGACCATGGCCTGGTAGACTTGTTAGCCCCATGAGTCTGGGGAGAGCCTGGAGCCAGGAGTGGTAATCCCTTGTCTGAACCTGTGACCTAGCAGATTCACAGTCCCTGATACTTCCTCCCACAGCCCCTGCCGCCTCCCATTTTCATGCTGCAGGAGATGGCGGCAATTCTTACCCAGCTCCCTCACTTGGCTTGTGATAACGCCCTCTTCTGTTCTCTTTCAGAAAGCTGTGTCCTCACCTACCGTGTCACGGCTCACAGACACAACCAAGTTCACAGGCTCCCACAAAGAGCGCTTTGACCAATCAGGAAAGGGCAAAGGCAAAGCTGGCCGTGTGGACCTGGTGGATGAGTCAGGCTATGTGCCTGGCTACAAGCATGCAGGCACCTATGACCAGAAGGTGCAGGGGGGCAAGTAGCCTTACAGGCCAAAACTCTGGACACTGCGGGGGCCAGGCACAGGACTGACACCCACTGCACTTCATTACATTCCTATGTTCAACTGGGCAGAACTCAGAATGCACCTCCACTAGGTAATGGTGGGGGCAATGCCCAGGCCTCCTCCTGCTGGGTGCTTTGACACTTCTCTCTCAGACCCCAGGTTTGGGCCATGATTCACTGTCCTTTCCTAACATACCTACCCTGTTCACAAATGGGAAGTGGACTGCTATTTCCAAACTGTCTCCTAGGACCATACCACACTGGCCACTTGTTCTGCAGGTAAAAAGGGGTGTTTTGAGCATTGGTAGGTATAAAGACAAGCAGGTCAGACATCAGAACTCACACTGACCTTATCCAGGCACTTCTTGGGCAGTAGGAGCTAAGGAACTAACCAACTGCATAAAGTTAGCTTGAACAGGTCCCTTTGTCCTTTCTACCCACAGGACATGACTGGGGCTACCTGGTTGTTGTGCCATGGTGTGTGTGGAACAGTACACATGTACATACAAACATACACACATGCATGCACACACACACTCATGTGCATGCTCATCAACAAAGTCTGTGCTGAGTGGCCAAGAGACAACGGAAGCCCCCTGGTGGTCAGGGGAGTGACTTGGAGCATGAAGCTGAACGTTTCTTCAGGGCTCTTCTAAGACATGACAAGACTATGTGCTTGGCCTCAAGAATGGTTCAGGAACGTGAAGCTGCCTTGACTTCCTCCTTGCCCTGACTCATCACCAGGTTGAGACACATGTGATGCTGAGACATTTGGTCCAGACCAGACCTGGGCAGTTGTCCCACCAGTGTGAGATGGGAGCTTTTGCCAGGGCCAAGTTTTGTTGTGCTTTGCTCAAAAGTATGTGTCCTCAGCTCTATGAAGACACGTCTGGATTCAGTTTCCTAACTTTTCTCTAGAGTGAAAGTGTAGGGCACAGGACACCAGAACTAGGCCACCCCAAAACTCTTGCAGCATCTACTAGGGTTTCTTTTTCTGCCACAGGAGAACACCTGACTCAGTAGTTCAGCCATGTGTGAAGATGCCACTTAGGCAGTCCCATAGGCATGTGCTTCTATCATTACAGCCTCACAGCAACTGTTCCTTTGCATTACATAGCCCTGCCCTTGCATGCAACTTGCTGGACTACGTGGTCATTTTCTAGAAAGAACCCACAGTGGTCTCAGGACATGGCTCCCAGAACAGGTGGTTGTTGAAGGTGGGACGTCTTACATGGCTTGACACAGCACAGGTAGACAGCAAAGTTGCCTCCCTCACTGCCATGGCACATAGTGACATTACCCACGCCTCAGCGGCCCAGAGAGCATGTCTTCACTGCAGCATGAGGGAAGGCTGCCTACTAGCCCGAGAGAAAGGCAGGGACCTCGATACCAGACCTCCCACAAGGCCCTCAGAAGGTCCAAGGTTATGAAGCCCCTCAACACAGCCACAACTGGAGGATGGGGTGGTATAGCCGTCAGCTTCTTCCCAAGGTTCTGGGAGTCTTCAGTACCAGGCATTAAAAAAAAACAAGTAGCGGAGCCTCGGTTCTGAAACCTGACCTTGCTGGTCTGAGGAAACAAGAGGACACTGGCCCTCCTCACACCCTCCTTCAGAGCCCCTAGTCCCCATGTGGCTGGCAGTCTCTTGGTCTGATGCTATTCTTTTCTACTGCCTAGTAACAGCCCAGTTGCCACCATCACAGCTGAGTGAAATGGAACACACACAAATCAATCAGGAGGTGACTGCATATGAGCCAGGGCAGAGTGACAGGCTAGGGTGGTGTCTGAGGGTCCCTACACCATGCAGTAGGTCAGAAGTTTCCTTGACCCCATAGTAGTCGAAGGATCCTGGACAGAGTCTCCCATTCAAACAGCCAAGACGCCAGGTTAATAATGTCCAGATGAAGATCCAGGAGAAGTTCAAGGTTAGCTACCTAGGAGCATCTAGGAAACAATGTAAGTGTCCACCTTCACAGAACCACCTAGCCTCCTGGAGAAGCTTCATTACAAACTGGCCACCTGGCCCATGTGCTGGGGATTGAACAGAACAGCTCCGAGTGGCATGCACACATAACTTCTGGGCAGCAGAGGTCCAGAATTGCTATCTCAGCCCACACAGGAGAAATCCTCAGCAGGAGAAGAACTTCAGAGAGCATCTGGTCCAGACCAGTCCTGGGAAGTTGTTCCACTAGTGTGAGATGGGAGCTTTTGCTCTAACACAACTTGGGCTCTGTAAATGAAAAGTACGTCACTGCCTTGCTGGTCCTCACTGTCCTAGCACAGAACCTAAGCACCTTAGGGCTCCTGAGGGATAGTCCTAAGCCCTCCCGTGTTGTCCTTCAGCAGCACCCAGAATTATGCCAGACAACTGGTCTTCATTGTGTCCCTTCTCACTCCCAGTTTCCTCACACAGCACCTTTCTTTAGTCAGTGTTAAGTCTAACTTGGAAAATACACCCTTCCTCTAGATGAGAGGTCATCTGGCAAGGATAGGGTGGTAACAATGAGCTTACAAAGACTCAGTGTCTCTCCATACTGTCAGTGTAAAGTGTTTGGAATTCACTGTGGCATCTGTGTACCCTCTCAACATAGAAACTGATTGGACTCCAACTCCGCTGCACAGAACAGATGTGCATTTCCCTCAGTCTCTGATGTGAACACAGAGGCACAGTGTTTGTCTCTGTTGCATGTTTTATGCGATACCAATTAGCTTTTACTAATCATGGATACATAGAATTCAGTATCTATCTGTGAATAAAACAAAAAAGAACCAAAAAAGAAAAAAAAAAAGAAAAAAAGATAAAACAAAAACAACAACAACTGCATAGCATGCAAACTGAGACCCAGGACCATGTGCTATTAGGTGACAGACACACAAGAGACAGGGACAGGTTCTCTTGGGATGACAACCAAGAGATGACATGGTCTTTTCTGGAGGGGACACCCAGGAGACAAAAAAAAAAAAGATACATTCTTATCAGAGGAAGACACCCAGGAGACAGACAGGTTCTCTTAAGGTGTGACAGCAAGAAAATAAGAAGAGGTTCTGTCAGGGGCGATACTCAGGGATATAGGTTGGAGTGACAGAGACATTCTGTTGCAGGTGACACTCAGGATATGTTCCGAGTGAAACTTGGACATGTTCTTTCGGGGGTGACCCTCAAGAAATGCTCTGTGGGGGCGTTATATACAGGGACATATTCTGTTGGAGGTGATATTCAGGAGAAAGGTACAGGTTGCAGGAAGAACAATGTAAATGGTATTTTAAGTGTCGGGGAAGGAAGGTAGGCAGGCAGGAGAGTGTTTGAGAACACTGACTCTAGTAGAGTATTTATTTATTTCTATTTAATGCTATAGGAAAAGCAACTAGTTAGTGGGAATGCTTTACCAAAATCAAAGTTCAAATTATGTTTAAACATTGTGGAAAGTTCTATATTTATACTGGAGTATTTTTACACCTTTCAGTATCCTATCTTACATAAGGGCACAGGGACATTATGACAGATGGAGACAGTCTTGAAATGGGCTGCACGGCAGCTTCTGCCACTTTCCTGCAGTCTCTTCCAGGGAGATGACAGGTGCCTGCCCTGAGCCAAGACTCAACCTTCCCACTCCCAGAGGCCCTGGGTTGCTTCAGTTCCTGTTTTAATGAATAGTTTTACAGGCACACAGCTGTACCCATGGGTTTACATACTGTTCTGTAGCTGCTTTGGCATTAGAACTGGCTGGGAGGATTGAGACAAATGCCATGGCACAGACACCTGTGGTATTTGCCACCTGTCCCCTATCAGGGAAAACTGCCTGTCTGCCTGGCTTGCTCTCTCTCTCTCTCTCTCTCTCTCTCTCTCTCTCTCTCTCTCTCTCTGCAGATTTGTATACTACCTGGCTACAGCATGGGCACATGGGAAAGCCCTGCCAACACCTTTCAAGTATGGCAAGGGTGACAATTTAGCTGTACTGTGAAGACATCAATAGACAAGAGTATCCTTCCAACACTGAGCCAAACTGCTCTTCTTCACCAACATACTACTGACCATTCTGAACTTTATGGTTCAGGGGTGTGGCCATCTTGGGACGCTTAAATTATCTCTTCCTTTAGACCTCTTAAACTAAACAAAGCCAAACAACAAAGGAAGCCTGTACAACTTAAACTTGAAGGGAAATAATATGCTACTACTACTACTAGTTTGTACTAAGTTTTTTTTCCAAGAAAGGGAGTTAAGTTTATATATATATATATGTGATATATATTTTTACACTATTTTATTAATGTTAGGGAATATGGAGTATATCACTTTATCAGTGATGGATAATGTTGATGTCATGGGTGTTCTGGCTCAGAAAGGCACTTATGCTGACATCTAAACCACACTTGCTCAGAATGTCTGTCAGGTCAGGATGGCCCTCCTGCCCCTCCTGTAGAGTGCAAGGCAACTAGTCACCTGTTGGACATATCATCATGGCCTGGCTCAACCTGCTTTAGTGAATAGCTTGTGTCTATCAACATTTTGTTCATTGTGTTTGCTGTTATTAACATTGTGTGTCAAGTTGGTAAAGTGATGAATAAAGGTGTTAAAATGTGGATTTCTATTTTCCTCAAAGTCTATGCTGTCTATACTAGCTGTCACAGGGCCAGCAGGGCCTTGACACTTGGATACTAACATAGAGGTACCCAGAGTCTTTCTTGAATCAAAGCTCACCAGCAGAGAGTCTCACATTATTCCTACTTAAGGGACTTTCTGCTTCCTAGCTTAGGCAGGACTGCAATGGTACACAGACCAGCCATCTGTCAGATTCAAGGCCAGGTCTGGCTTTGGTACAGCCCTTAGGTGAGGTCCAGACTTAGGGTGCAGTCCAAAGGCAGGCACATTATCAACTTGCTGAGTAAAATTCAGGTCAACCTCAAACACTGGTCCAAAGAGGTTGCTGTGGTTGCTGCTCAAAAACAGGGGTGGGGGGTGTGTAGGTTTTTTTTTTCTTCTTTTTTTTAGAAATGTAATAATTTGCTACAAGTAGACAACTACAACAAAAAAATCTAAATACAAAATGATCATAAGGAAATGTCATTGACATAAAGTAAAGCAAAGAGAATAAGCAGGCAGGTAGCTTCAGATTAATAGTAGCTATGCAAGAATTTTGTGTGAGACTAAAAATATTTCATTAAGAAACTTGGAAACAGTCACACACAAACCCAAACGTAAATAGTGAGGCTAGTGTTCACAGGCTCTTGTGTGCTTTGGAGTTATCCAAAGTGCTGACCAGCTTCCTGATTAGTAAGGGTAGAGAAGCTGAAAAGATACAACCTAAAAGAGGCTAGGAGTGGTGGTGCACACCTTTAATCCCTCCAAGAGGATCTCCGTGAGTTCAAGATCAGCCTGGTCTACTTGGTGGGCTCCATGACAGCCAAGGCTACATGGTAGGAACATCTCTCAAAACAGAACAGAACAAAACAAACAAACAAACAACGCCCCCCCCCCAGAAAAACCAACCACCAACAAACAAAAACAACAATACTGGAGCCAGAGGGGGGAAAAAACCCATGAACAAACATACAAAATGAAATGGCAGATAGAACCAAAGAAATAAATACAGGAAAACTTATGAAACAATAAACCCAAATACATTTGTAATTTTGGAAAATGTATAATGCCACGAGTGGCATCAAGGGGAAGGATAGACAGAAAGCTGGTTCAGCAGACACACAGCTGGAAACATGAAGGGCAGCCAACAGAATGAGTGCTCTCAAGTCCAGCCACCAGTGACTCACTGAAGATGGGAACACCTGGCCTCCCTCCTGGTTCACTGGCTTGATGAGCATGTCTGTAGTGTGGAAGCTGAGGTAGAGCCAATGGCCACAGGCTATCTTCTTACCCAGATAGTGAGCTCTTCCTATTTAAAACCTCAAGTGCCACAACATGTCTACAAATTAATTCACAGACAGCTGACGATACAACTCCTGCCTTCGGGTTAGGAGCTACAGTACCCAGCTGAGAGCCCCCAAAGCCTCCAAGTCCAGGCTGGAAACTCACTACTCTGAACACAAAATCCACCTGGGCCAATGCAGAGCTTGGGCAGGGAAATCTTTCTGACCTTGTGAGGCAGAGACCAAGGTCCATTAGGGCATCTACTGAAGTGGCTCAGCAGTTGGCTCTTCCTCTGCCTGGTCCTGCTAGGACACACCTTAGTTCCTCACACACTGTTGCCTCTGTTAGTAACATGGCCTGAAATCAGCTCCGGAGAGGCTGGGCTGTTGGTGAGAACAGGCTCTGCCACATGTTAAAACAATCATACCCACAAAGAAAGTTCCAGGCATAAGCGACTTCACCAGCAAGCTCTACCAAATGTCAGGGATGAAAAATTACACCTCTATTCTCAGCACAGTCCTGCAGATCCAGTTGAAGAAAGGACAAATGGATTGTAAGCCACTGTTATCTCTCACTGTATTGCAACAATGAATGGTATAGTGTTGACTAAGTGTCAGATACTGCTATGAACTTTTATTTATAATCACTCATTCAGGAAGTCAGTACTCAGCACATTGTGAAATGCTAAGGATCAGAACCAGGCAAACATCTTGAATATAAGATGGAAGGATGTGTCCTAAAGAAGGTAGCAGTCTGGGAAAGTGACTGAGGGTGGAAATGCACGTGTTTTCTGGGAATCTTGGAGCTAGGACAGCTGTGCATATCCCAGGAGAACAATGGCATTAGACCCTTAACCTTCCTAACAGGCACAAAAGCTCCAAATAGACAAAACTACCAAATATGATGGTAGACAAACTCAAAAGAACAAAATTTATTACTTAACATACGCCACACCGCAGTCAACATAGATTTATGTCATCTTAAAACATACAGGATTTCTGTCCTCTAACAAGGAAACAACCCTGAAGCAGACACTAGCTAGCCATCCTTTAATTCAAATCCATTCAGACACTATCCACCTGGAAGAATCAGCTTTCACAGGTTGAGGGCCAAGGCTGCCTCAGAACTTCAGAACATAACATTTTCTCCTGTTTTTGACTGGCAAAAACTATGGTCCCTCTAACCTCCTTTTTTAGAGTCAATTTGCTTACACAGCTTTCAGAATTTAGAAAGCACATTAATGATTTATTGTAAGTCCCTACAATGGATGTAGATGGAAGAGATGTGGAATGAGGTGTGGAAAGGTGTAGAACTCCCTCTCGGTACCTGATGGGAGATGTCATTCTGTAAATATCTTTCTCGTATTGGTTAATGAATAAAGCACTGTTGGCCAATAGGGAAGCAAGATGGGTGGGATTAGGAGAGAAGGAGGATTCAGAAGAGGTGGGAGAAGATTCAACATGTAGGATAGGGAGAGCAGAACTCCAGACCCACTCTCTGGTAAGCCAAGACCATGTGGAAATACTTAGATTGATAGAAATGGGTTAATATTTAAGACAGAGCTAGCCAATAAGAAACACTAGTGACAGGCCAACAGCTTTATAGCTAATACAGCATCTTTGTGTGTTATTTGGGGCTGGCGCAGCTGTGGGACTAGGCTGGTGGAAAACTACTTGTAACAGGTACCACCCTCCAGGAACCTCTAGCTGTTCACCTCTTTGATTGGCATCTGAGTCCAGTCCTCTTGTCTTTTTGAGGAAATTGTGTTATGTAGGCATTACTAACTCTAGTCATTGGTGATCAATTTAACTATCATCCCCTTCATTTCTTGGAGATTAGGGTTGGGGCCATACTGCCTGTATCTTTCCAGTGGCCAGCCACATCCTCAAGCTACTTGGAGTTGGACAGAAGACCACTCGTTAGCACACAATGATACCATCCTTCAGAGAATCTAATGGTTTTAGGTGTTGTGTGTTTGGAAACCAACAAAACCCAAATATTTATTTTACAATAGCACAATGACCCCAAAGGGAAAATTTAAAAATAAAAATCAGTACCCAGAATGAGTTATAAAAGACTGACACACAGAACTAAAATAAAGTTTAAAAGTTCTCTCAGAAGCACTATTAAAAAAATAAAAAGGAGGGGGTGGAAAGAGGCGGCGGAAGGGAGAACTGTGGTTAGAACATAAAGTGGGGGAAAAAATTAAAATAAATAAATAAACAAATAAATAAATGGAAAGCAGCTGTTTATAGATGTGATCCCAAATCACAGAATCATGGGCTATTTCCCCTATTCATATGTGGGACAAATGTTCTAGGATTCAGATTTTTTCCTTCATTTTTTTTTTTTTTAATTTACAGACATCTAGGTGAGCATTCCTAATGAGAAAAATGTAGATCTTTCTATGTATCATGCTGTTTTGATGCTAGAAATGGGATCCAGAGCCTCTTGTGTGTCCAGCAGGCGGTCCACACAGAGATGCACCTCTAGTCCAAGTGTAACTGTTTGGTTACCAACATAATGCTCAGAAAGTTTCAGAAATTCAGTCCTTTCTTAGTAAGGTTATGTTCATGCTTCCTTTAACTCCTTCAGCATGTTCACAATAGCTTTTCTAGACAATCACAAGCAGTTTCCAGAGTGACTGTGGTCAGCAGCATCAACACCAGTGCATAAGAGCATCTGTCTGTCTGCCCACGCTTCCCTCTAGAAGGACTATCTTCCTGGGGGACTGAATTTGCCTCTTCTATGACCACTTTTCATACATTCAGTCATCTGGGTTTCATTTTGTACAGTGAGTATTTAAGTCTGCCCCTGGTTTTTGGCTAAGGAGTCTGCTTACTGCAAGCAAGGGTGAGGCAGCGAGTGGAAGATTTTTTTTTTTTAAACTATGACATGTTAACATCATACAAATTCTTAATATGATTTTCACATTTATAATTTTTTTTATTAAACTTGGAACTATTTCTCCCTGATTATTTACTATGTGTAATTTGTTTTATAGAAGAATGAGAAAGTCAGTTATAATTTATAAAGAACCACATAAAAGGCTTACTTTTTAAACATAACAATATATTAGTTCTTTATATAAGGACTGCTTATCACATAAAAACTTACTTTACATATATAAAACTTTCACAAATTGGGAAGGAAAATACTACAGGTACTTTACAACTGGATGTGTAATGGCAAAGCAAGTGTTCCAAGTATGGCAAAGACCCAGGGTCGACTTTGTCAGTTTAGGACACATATGCCAGCTAAACTTCAGACCATCAACACATTTTTAGGATCCCAAGGTAACTGCAGTCTCACCAGAATATTCAGTTAGGGACATGCCTAGGTGCAGCTCTGGAGCTATGACTGATGGAGGACAGCACAGCTCAGTAGGAGCTAGCAGGACTGGCGGCCACCAAGCCGGGAGCTGTGGCGTGGAAACAGGGCAGCAGTCTTCTTAAACTCCTGGAAGCTCCAGTGCATCTGCTCTACCTCAGCTCTATGCTGTGCCCGTGTGTGGCTCAGCTCCTGCAGGAGGTGCTCATTGGTGCTGACCAGGGAACTAGAAATAAAAGGAGAATAATTGCTGAGTCCCTCCCAGTACCCAGACTGCTGCTGTGTCGCAACTGCCACAGCCTAGCTCAAGATCCTCCAGCATGAAGGCATCCCTGACCCTTGTCGTGGCCAGGTGTTCCTAACTGCAGCGATGCAAGGCCACCACTTGTTCATGGCCCCATTTTCTTCCTGTTTATACTGGCTTCTGCCCTGTATGTGACTTTTCCATACTACACATGGGGTGCAACCTGATCCCTTGGCTTGAGCAAGCCTCTTAAAGGCACTGCTGGTCACCGTGAGCTGAGCTTGGGAATAAGCTGCAGGAGTAAATGGTGATGTCTTCCTGACATACCACACAGTTCTATGACAAAACAAGGATAGCGTTTATGCTAATAAAACCATATTCTGACTCTAGGAAGACCCAATACCACAATGTTTTAATTCAATTGCCATGAAGTGACAGTACAGTGCAGAGCTGGATTCAGAAGTGCTAGTGCATTTTTCACGATTTCTCCGTACTGCTCAGTTCCTCAAGGTGGCCACAGTGAATAGCATCACAAGTTTAGACAAAGCAAGGCAATGCTAACTAACCTCTGCCACTTTTGAAGACAGTCACCCCATTGAATAATGTACAAGCAGGTGCTGGCCCTGTTTGTTTAGATCACAGAAAACAGCTGCTGAATAGCACCAGCATGCACACGGATGGACAAAAGCCTGCCCCACTATCTCCAGAGCTCTGTACCTTCTTCTACCCATATCTGGGCCAGGATGCTGAGAGCTCAGCCACCAATGTCACTGGAGCTACCATGGATGGCCAATTGGATTCCAAGAGTGTACTGTTTTGCCTGCTATTGCTTTTACCCCCAAATTAGTAGCTCAGATTCCTTCCTTCCTTCCATTCCTCCCTACTGAGTCTCAGCTCGGTCTTCTCCGCCAAAAGCCTTTCCCTCTAACTATTGTAACCCAGGTCTGTGATGGGCCCGCGGCTGGCCTGTAATGACTTAAAGGGAGAGCTTGGCTTTGCTTGACTCCACATAAAGGTATGTGGTCACCTAGTCAGGAAACAATGAGAAGGGTTAAAAGGGAGAAAGGGAGAGTGGTAACCTATCGTAGACCCCAGGAATAGGGCTGCTCTGATGACCTGTTCGCGCTCAGACACCTGCCTTCTTCCCAGAACAAACTTCCTCAATAAAGTGAGGGTTTGCCTTGTCCAACCCAACGTTCCTAGTCCCCCTTTGACTACCCACACAGCAAGAAATATAAATAAAATTTCCCTTTTAAGAAGTGAACAGCCACGGGCTGCGGCGGAAGGGAAAGTACATGCCCACAGGAGTTGCAATCTAGAGGAGAACACTGTATCATACCTCACAGTCTGTCACATGGACCTACCCCTCACAGTCTGTCACATGGACCTACCCCTCACAGTCTGTCACATGGACCTACCCCTCACAGTCTGTCACATGGACCTACCCCTCACACTTCCTAGTCCATACCTCCTGGTTCACATGCACCTCAGGATGTTCACCTCAGTGTGCCCACCTCAGGCTGTGTACTTTCCAGTCTAACCCTCAGTGTACACTCCTCGCAGTCTTCATCCTGTCAGTTTTTACCTAGCAGGGAATACTAACTGATGTTCAGAGTTAACATGGCAATGCATGTGGGTCCTGAACACTAACGCTGATTCTCGGTGCCGCACACCCCGTGCCTCAGCTTCCCCCTCCCCCCACCCGTGGCCCACTCAGACATGGACCTGTGGCTCTCTTGCAGCATCTGTGTGAGCTCCTGGATCTTGTCATAGTGCTCCAAGTGCTGCTTCAACTCCACAACTTCCCCCGAGAGCTGTTTCATACTTGCCTGAAGTCCTGAGGGAGGAAGAGAGGAAGTGGTATTGTGTAGAGATGTTCACTCACACATTTTAAACATTCTGGTTTCAATTAAAGCCAGAAAAAGAATACCAGACTTAAAAGATATGGGCAACACTTGTCTCCCTCTGTGGGAATTAATACCACTGCTACCTATAGTTGATACCCTAAAGCTGGTAACCCTGAAGAGCCACATCCCTATGTGGAAGGAGAGGGTGATGACAGATATAGACCCGGTACCAGCAGGAGCCTCCTCTCCGGGATCTGCCTGAAGAGTCTCCTTCTTCAGGAAGCAACCTGGACCCATGAGGGAGCCTATGGCTGAGGTAGAAGCATTATTAAGTCTGTGGTGGCCACATATCTGATGTATCCATCGATTCCTTCCTACCAGTGCCAAAGTGGGTGTTCTCTTTCCATCGATGTGACTTTTATTTATTTCTGAGTTTCCCTTGAAACAAGAGCAATGTGTGCTCAACAGTCTACCCTCCTGAAACACAGATGAACACTCTAGGCATTGGAACTTGCCTCTTCTTAAAATGGAAAAACAAAACACCCCCAAAAGGGAAAAAAATAAAAATGATCTGGACCTGAAAGAAATAGTCATCAAAAACAACCATCAAGACACCTGTTTTCTCAGGAAGCAGAAGATTCAAGATCCAAATGGTGGCAGAAACAGCCAAAGAAGTTACCTCCACATACTGCCCCAGACCAGCTGCTATAGGCAGCCATTGACAATCGGACTGAGTCTCCAGACCCACTCAGGCAGTATTTACTGACTCCAACTCCTGGCATAAAGTGACTTGGAACTATGTCTACTCTATGCGTGTAAACTGTGGACTTACCAGTGATCTGCAAAGTTAATGCAGCTGAAGTGTCTGAATTTTTTACTTCTTTTTTCACGCTCAACAGAAGAGATTTTAAGTTACTATTCTCTTCCAAAGATTTGTCTAAATGCTGTCTCAATGTGTCCTAGAGGCAGAGAAAAACAAATGTAGACAATTCAAATTCAGTCAATATATTTAATGAATGGAATAAAATTCTGGGCACAGTCTCAAGTTTCCCTTTTCATAGCATTAGTTCTGAATCACAACACAAAGCAAAAATCATTCTCCCACCAGTAGGCTACCCTAACTACTGACTGGAAGGGGAGGAACACGAGGAAAGGGGAGGGGGAAGATGTGGTATGTGCCAGAAGAATTCAGGTGCAATACTAGGAGAGCAATGACTGGTAGCTGGTACATCCCCTCTCTCCTCAAGGATCCCATCATCACAAGCATCCCCAGGGCCTCTACACTATTCAGGGTTATTGGCATCCTTCCTATTGGAACTCTATTATGAGCTGGCTTCTCAGTCTACAAATGTGGGGAATTCCATCTGTTATACACAAGAAGGAACTGAGCCTGGGCTCCTTAGTATCTTCACAGGCAGGGAAATGCTGAACATGAGCTGGGGTGTTAAGACTGAAACATAAGACAGAGACCAAGACTACCATCACAGCCAGTAACAGCAAAGGTGGCAAAGGTCCTGCAAGTTACCAGGCTTCTTGACAGGAGCCATGCAAACTGTGAAGTCAGAGCTCCCACAGATCTGTACTCATCTGCCTGCAGCCCAGGTACCAGAAGCCATACTCATAAAGGTCAAGTTCTAGACAGGACCCCTTCCTTCCACCAAGGGTTGGAAAAGGAGAGAGAACTAGCATTGCACCAAGACCCAAGTCCAGTTCACAGGCATCTGATGAGGTTATTATGTTTGTGGCAAGCCCACCCTCTCCACACATGTATGCCCACCAGCCATGATGCCTCCTATTAAAGGCTGACTGCCAGATGCCACACCATTTCTTTCAGCTGCAGCTTTAAATCAACACCTCCCCACACAGGCTCTTCCTTCTGGCACTAGCTCTCGGTGGTGCGTTGTGCTGGCTTCTACCTCTCAATCATACATACTCCAGGCCGTGATGGTCACAGGCAGCAGGGGACTGAACACACCTGGGCTGGGCAGGTACATCTGCCTCGGAAACTATATTCAAGTTAACAGGTTAGGGGCAGAGCCTCTGTTTCAAGACATAATTCTAGAGGTCACACAAGCTCCATGCAGGCTAATGTCTTTACCCTGTGAAGCTTACTAGGCCTTGACAATAGTTGCTCTGTATGGTGGCTCCTGTTGGTCTCTTACATGCACTTTTCTAGCTATCCCAGGAGGTGGTTATTACTATATGCACTCCTGATCTACATGCTGGGCTACTTCTCCTTCTTCAAGGAGGACAAGCAGGGGCATGGCTCAGTTCACTCACTCAGACAGGGAACTTTACCCTGTTCTTGTCTGGGCACTTAAGTTTGCTCTTCAGCACAGATACTTCTGTGTATTCCATACGGCAGCTGGCAATGCTGACTTCTAGACTCTGTCTTTCTGGGTGCTGCTGTTCCAGATACAGCAGGGTTGACTTGTACTTGCTGTGTCTGCCTTAACAGGTACTACTGACTGTTTTCTGTTAAGACTATATTGTGCCCCGTGTGGCTAACAATCCCACAAAGACAATACTCCGCATAGCACTGCAGTCCAGGCACACTGGGCTCTGGCCCTCGCCAATGCAAGAGCTTTGTGCACATGCAGGAGATTCATAGTGTTTTCAATTCCAGAGACCATCTGTGTCAGTTCACTTTTTTTCCTCTAAAATGAGGTTTTGCATGTTATCTCTTATCTTCCACAAATCAAGATATTTGCCAGGCAACTTTAAACTTTCCCCCATAAATACTGTGGTATATTTATCTATTTTACAAATGAGGTGATTAATGCAGGCGGCAAGCCAGGCAGTTGCTGTAGGAACCCACTGACCTAGAGCGTACATGGTCCCTTGCCAGATGCTCACCTTGCCAGGGGTGAACCAATACACATTGGCAGAGGGGACAGACTGGTATCCCCTTCTTGGTATCACAAAGACTCTTTCAGCCCATACAGAGGCCCACACGGCATCAAGACCTATTGGGCTTTCATATTGGAGGGTCAAGTCTTGGCAACCGATGTGTGCTTAGTTAATCTGTCTATCGCAGAAGTTGGCCACAGTGTGTTGGTCCATGGCTCATTTTGAGGTTATGTACTACAAAGCCACTGAGCTAAGCAGAAGGTTAGTACTTGCTCTGGTGGGTGGGTGCCCTGGTAGGTGGCTCTGTAGTCCAGCCCTTCTGCCTTTGATAGAACAATAAGCATAAACTCAAAAGAATTAAGGGCACCCCAATCTTTAAATACGATACAATCCCACAAGGATAAGCTTAAGAGGCCAGGATCAAGTTTGCATGGTTCTTAGAGAGTCCCCTAAACTCCGATACAACCTTCAAATGTTGCCTGGTTGGTGCAGAACAGAGCAAAGACCACAGATGGCCCAGCTAACTGGACCTAGAAGCCTATGGCAGAGACAGAATGAGTCTGGTTCTTATCTCCTTCCATCTCTTCCACCCAGACTCTGAGAAAACAGGACCACACAGAATTTTGGCAACACCATCATAGGCTTACTGTTTTCTGGGCTCTGGGTGTGAAACAGTCAGGTGGAACCCTTGAGGCGACAATTGCTAATAGGGGGGAACTGCTTGGTCCTGGAGCAGCGAGAGGGAGCCCAACGGTGGCTGTGGGGCAGAACAGTCAGCACGGTCCTTGTTCTGAGGGGCCAGACCTGTCGTCCCCTTATCCCGTGAACCAACAGCGAAGAGCATAGCTCACCAGCTCCTTCCTTGAATTGTTGAGTTCTGCAATCACCTTGCCCAGTGTAGCAGTATACTGTTGCTGCTGCTCAGCAAGGCGGCTTTGCAGAGACTTATTCTCAAGAGATAGGTAATTAAGTTCTTCCTTTTCAAGGGTTGAACTGTCCCGAGCTGCTGTGACCTCTTGAAGAGATGACAAAACATGCCTGGCTTGAGCTAGAAGTCAAAAGGAAACACAGTTACTGTATCATAGCTAAAGGATGGATTATAAAAAACAAACAAACAAACAAACAAAATGCTCTCTACATAGCTATGTGACTTGAAAGCAGAGCACAGAAAAAAACTGACACTGGTACCTTGAGATCACCTTGCTTGCTTCTCTATGAGAATGATGGACATGGCTTTTTAATTTACACAAAGGGCAACCCTCGAGAGAAGGCCCAATATGCTAGGTGGCCACATAAGGAAGTGTGGTGAATGCATGGTAGCTTGGCCTGAAAACTGCAAGGTGGCAACAGCATTGCGACCATCACAGCTACCATGGACCACTTCTGTAGCAGCAAGACACTGGCCCTGACTAAAGAGCAGATACACAGTCACCAGGATCCAGTACCGCAGTCCCCAGGGTCTCTGATCCAGGAATAACTAAAAGGGTCACAACCCCCGTGGGGAGTGGTCAGGAACTGTTGGTTACTTTAAGTCAACCTGCCACAAGCTAAAGTCACCCGAGGGAACTGCAATTGAGAAAGCGCCCTATAAGATAGGGCTGTAGGCAAGCCTGTAGGGCGTTTTATTAATTAGTGATTAATGGGGGAGCCCAGTCTGTGGGGGGTCACTCCTGGGATGGTGGTCCTGGTTCTGTAAGAAAGCAGACCAAGCCAGCCATGAGGAGCAGGGCAATAAGCAGCTCCCCTCCATGGCCTCTGCATCAGTTCCTGCCTCCAGGTTCCTGCCCTGTCTGAGTTCCTATCCTGACTTCCTTTGATAATGAACTGTGATGTGGAAGAATAAGCCAAATAAAACATTTCCTCCCCGAGTTGATTTGGTTATGGTGTTTTATCATTTATCACAGCAATAGTAACCATGACAGGAGCCACGGCATGCAGTAGCTTAGGCAGCTCAGTGCTGATGGGCCTGGCTCCCAAAGAACTTGTAGCCCAGGCTTCTGGAGGAAGCAACCACTGCCTAGGCTCAAAGCACAACACCACACGAGGAACTGTAGCAAGCTCTCATCCTCACTCTCCAGTTTGCAGAAGCAAATAGACCTGAGTCGTCACTAGGGAAGACCATCTTTTCAGGTTCCTATCACATACCTGAAGCTTTATGAATTCAGGGCCCTGTACTCAACCAGATGCACACACACAAATCACAGGACAGCCGAGAGGTTCCCAGTCTTCCAAATGCCCACAAGAGGACAGAGTAATTAGAGATCAACAAAGGGCACAGCATTTATAGTACTGCAGGTGCAGCCCTTAACAACAAAGCACTCCAGTCACCAAGAAGGGCAGCAACAGGAGGCAGGACATGTAACAACATGCAATACGCAAAAGAGGATGTCTGTTATCTAGCATAGGAACACTAATCTATTTCTCTGGAACCCCAGGTTGTGTGAACACTCGGAGCCCCAAACCTAGCAGTCGAGCAGCATCTACCAATAGATGCTGCCAGGACTCACCAAGGAATGCCTCGTTGCCATGCAGGGATCCACTGCCGCTTGCGCACCTGTCTATCAGGTCGAGGAGTGCCTCCAGGAGTGCCACCTCCAGAGCAGGCCTCCGCTCAGGCACTGCTGCTGAGCAGAGTTTAGGAGACAGCTATGACGAAGACACAATCATAAGACTGGCTTTAAGCTGGCAGTTCACTGCAAAAACTAGGTCTCTAGCACAACATGCCAAGAGTATAAAATGCTTGTCTCCATAATGGCAGAAGCTCACATTCAGGGTCATAACCTTGAGCCGAGAACGAGAGACATCTTTCTTGGAGACACTCATTTGTGAAGCTAGCTCCTCATGAGGCTATGGTAGCATATCACTACCCTCCCCCATTTCCCTTCTCTCCCTCAATCCAGAACCTAAGAAACAGAGGCTGCAAAGCAACACAATTACATCACATACGAAAACAGCTCCCAGAACTAACACTTTGTAGTCAACTAACTACTGTCTCTAAGAGTAGTTCCAGAATTCCAGACTGTGACCTTATCTGTGGCTCCAAAAAGCCAGCTTCTGTTGTGAAATATTATTTTAATTGGGTAAATTTGTGTTACATTTGTTTATGCTGTGGAATATTAGTTTAACTGTGTAAGGGTGTGTCTCATTTGGGTAAGCTGTATTTGTTTTTTTGTTGTTGTTTTGTCTTGTTTTTCGAGACAGAGTTTCTCTGTGTAGCTTTGGAGCCTCTCCTGGCACTACATCTGTAGACCAGGCTGGCCTTGAACTCACGGACATCTGCCTGCCTCTGCCTCCCAAGGGCTGGGATTAAGGCATGCACCACCACTGCCTGGCATCTGGTTGGTTTTTTTTGAGACAGGGTTTCTATGTGTAATAGTACTGGCTGTCCTGGAACTAGCTCTGTAAACCAAGCTGGCCTCAAACTCACAGAGATCTACCTGCCTCTACCTCCTGAGTGCTGGGATTAGGGATGTGTGCCAGCACCTCCCAGCCTTTATGCTTCATTTCTTTAACAAAGTAAGGATGTGTGTTTAATGACGACGTAATGATGTATTGCTTTTGTTTCACCTTGCCTGCCTTAGGCACCTGATTGGTCTAATAAAGAGATAAATAGCCAACAGCTAGGCAGAGAAAGGGTAGGCAGGGTTGGCAGATGGAGAGTAAATAAGTAAAGAAATCTAGGCTCGAAAAGAAGGAGAGAAGTTTCCAAGTCACCATTTGGGAGCTGAGTGGTGGCCCAAAAGAAAAAGCCTGGTACGGGCTTCCCTTGCTTTTGCCTCAGATCCAGCTTAGGACCAAACAGAAAATCAACCACCTTGAAGGCCCTCTTGCTTCAAAGCCAAATGAAGTAGTTCCTGAAGCCTCTAGGGCCTTCAGGGTATAAGAATTCTTAGCTCCCTCAGCAGGACTGAATCCTTCAGAAACCATAAAATCTATTTCCAGGATTCTCCCTTCACGGCAGTCACTGATGATTCAGCCTGCTTGATTCCAACTTTGGAGACACAAGTGAATATTGGAAAGTCACCTACCACGTGCCTACTATGCTTGCCTTTCAGAACCAGAGCACTCAACAGTGGAGCATGAGATCAAGCGCCAGGGAAACAGTTTGAAAAGCAACACTCATTGTGGAGTCACTTAGTACTGAAAAATAAGACACAGCAAGCAAGACAACTGTGCTGCTAATACACACTTAATGGAAACGAGGCACGTCTCCAGCAGCTGACCCCTCCACTCTAGATGCTTACCACTCTGGGGTCATTTGTGCCATGAGATGTCCGCTCTTCAACCTCCAAAGCCTCAGAATGAGACATGGCCTGACTGTGGCCCTCCAAGCCATCCTGTCTGCTCAGACTGTCCTCGAGGCCAGAGGATCCATCAGGCCTTTCTAGGCAGCTCAGACACTCCCGGTCTGAAGGCACCTGGAATCTCCCACCAGGCATCCTTCGCTTCCTGTACTTTTCAGGAAGAGGCAAAAGATTTAATATATTCTGTGATGACAAACTTGACTTCTGAGAAGATGAACCACAATCTTCAACATTCACAGAGTCTGTAACACAGGAAAAGTGAGCACGGTCCTCATTAAACTGAATTCTCTGGGATATAGAGGCTGGTATTATAATTTCAAAAATATATCCATAATGTGAATGTATGTCCATCAAACACAGGCATATGCAACCGACACATGAGCATCCATGCACACACAAACACAAAAGGACACCCAAGAGGAAGGAGCAGGAGGTGACGGAGGGCGGCACACAGAGGCAAATGTGACAACACGGGTGAAGTGGACAGAATCCATCCCTGTGAAGTAGCAGACATCTGCGAGGACTTGCTCTGCATCAGCTCAACAGAAGAGATGTGCCAACAAAATTTTCCATACAACGTTCCGTATGTGTGTTGTCGAGAGCTTAAATGGGCCAGGATGGCCAAGTGACATGGATATCCCATGTACTTGCTCACTGCTACCCTCTTTGCTGGGGCAGACGTACTCCTGTCCAGGAAGAACAATGAAAGCAGGGAAGGTATTACACCGCAGCATGACCCTGGCTAACCACAGCCACAACTCTGGGCAGCCTTATAACTGACCATTGTACTTCCGAAGTCTCACAGATGTGAGCAAAACAAGGGGCCTCAAGATGGCAGGCTCATTACATGGCAAGTCTTCATGCTTACACTACAGATGCTCACAGTACTCTCAGTTAACTTACTTAATTTTCCTCATCTTTGGTATTAAAAATGTAATGAGCTTGGCCTGTGTATTTAGAAGAAAATGTGTGCCTATGGGGCTACATAGGGTAGAGAGAAATGTGAGCCACCGAGTAAGAGTATGTGTGCGCGGTAGGAAAATACCAAGATATTTACACACTTTCAATCAAAAAAATGGGTATGTGATAAATTCCAATGTGCTAAATCCTTTCCAGAAATATTTTAGAACTTCATATATAATAAGGATAAAGATACCAGGAAAAATCTCAGAGTCGCCGCAAACACTGTGAACAACACGTAACTACTGAGAAAGGCCCTGGCAGGTCTCGGTGATTACCTGGGTGTGAAGGGAAGCGGGTGTGCGGAGCATGCACGTGGCAGGCCTCTGGCACTCCATGCTGCAGAGTGAGCTCCCCACAAAGCTGGTCCTGTGGTGAATGAGCTGGACAGCACCCTCTGGAGGTGCCTTTCTTCTTCTCATGGCCCCTTCTCACTGAGTCCCCACACTGGTGCTGGATGGACAAAGGACTCAACAGATGTCCAGACTCTATTTTATTAAAAACACTTTAAGTCTTATTTTATTAAAAGCAAGAGCACATGAAATCTATAAAATATACTTTCCTTAAATCAATTAAGCAAGACAAACAAAGGACTGAGTAGGTTAATATAGCAGTCAGCACTGCAGTGAATTCCAGGTAGTTTCCAGGCAGGAAACTGCAGTGCTCAAGGGTGACAAGACTCATTCCCAAGTAACAAAAATGGGGAGGCAGTGCATGGAAGACAGGATTTACACATCAGGAAACAGATCAGCTGCCTCAACAAATGTCCAGAGTTATTACATGATGACTCTTAACAGATACTCAGAATAACGAGAAGTGGGAGATGTTCTGGAATATTAGTTGACCCTGTGCTACATTCGTTTATGCTGTGGAATATGTTTAATGATGTGAAGATGTGTTACTCTCTTTTATGCTGCATTTGTTTAATTCTGCGAAGCTGTGTTACTCTGCCTGCCTAAAATACCCGACTGGTCTAATAAAGAGCTGAATGGCCAATAGCAAGGCAGGAGAGGGTAAGTGGGGCTGCCAGGCAGAGAGGATAAACGGAAGGAGAACAGTATGAGAGAGGAGCGAGAAACGGAGGAGAGAGGAGACCAGGCCACCCAGCTACACAGCAAGCAAAGAACAGATATAGAGAAATAGAAAAAGGTGAAATCCCAGAGGCAAAAGGTAGATGGGTTAATTTAAGTTAAGAAAAGCTGGCTAGTAACAAGCCATTGGGAGCTGGGTGATGGGCCCCAAAAGAGTGAAAAATAAGAGCAAAACAAAACAGAACAAAAAGCCCCAAACCAACTACAGGGAGAGGTCTTGACCAGTAATGCAGTACTTTCATCCCACTCAGCACCCACTTCACTTGTGGGTTGTGTGCAAATCTGGTCAGTCTTTCTATAGCAGGAGGTGGGAAAAGTCACAGATTAGGACACAATAAAGCACATTCTAGTATACCAAAAAATGGTTAATTGGATTTATTTGTTCTTTGAAGCACTGTTAGGAAAGTGAAAAGGCAACCAATCAATAACTGGATTGAGAAAAAGGTCTTAGATCCAAAACCCACATGTCATTTGTATGATTCAAGACCAAAAAGAGAAATAAGCCCATTAAATAACAGGGTGGGCAGGTTTTAAAGTATAAGAGAAGATACAACAATGGCCAATGTGGCATCAAAACCCTTCAGGAAAAGGCAAGGTAAAATTAAAAACACACCCACACATCCATAAGAGAGTCATGGATAAGAGGACCGAGGACAGCAGAATTGAGAAGATAAGGTTCAAGAGCTGCTGGCTCCAGTATGAATGGCTCTAGAAAACTAACTCATAGAATGGAAGACATTGAATTAAAACTTATAAACAAGTCTCTGGTGCACATAAAGTTCACATACTGTGAAGTTCTGAGACCCTGGTAGGTGTAGAGGCCAAATCAGGTTCCTGAGCACCTGGCATATCATAAGAGCCAAGCGACTGACTGTTCCTCCTCACAGGAGCTATGGGCGTTACATTGGGTATTTTTTCTATGTTCTGAGAAAGAATGACATTCAAACAACTGTAATTATGACTAAACTCAACTTAGATCCATTAACTTTTCCTTTTGTAATTCCATAGTTCAAATATTAGCATTCAAAGTCAATACTATAAGCATCCTAAGTCCATGCTGAGGCCGGAGCCTGCCTAAACCATGGAGCCTTTACTGTGCTGCCCAGCGCACCTTGAGCATAATGGAGATCTGCCTCATGTTCCTTTTGGCTGGAGCTTGTGCTTCCGGGAGGATTGCTTAGGTCCCACTCACATTCAGCAATGAGGTTCAGGACAGCCTCATCATCAGCATCCATAACCAAGCATTTCTTAGCTGAAGCATCGGTTCTGGAGTGGTGTGTTCTGCAAGGGAAAAGAAAAGTCTTCAGTGTCAGCAGGTCCATGTATACTACAGCCCACAGGAGACCTTCACACATGCATCTCTTGGGAAGAGTTCAGTGGTAGGATGGCTCTTTGAAAGAGTTACTTACTTAGCACAAGTGACCACTAGAATTAGCTATGAAAACAAAGTTCTAACCCAAACTACTATACCCAGCAAAACTTTCAATCACCACAGATGGAGAAAACAAGATATTTCATGTCAAAACCAAATTTAAACAATACCTATCCACAAATCTAGTCCAAAGGTACTAGAAGAAAAATTCCAATGAAGGAAGTTAGTTTCACCCACAAAACACAGGCAACAGATAATCTCATACCAGCAAAACCCAAAGAAGGAAAATACACACACACACACACACACACACACACACACACACACACACACACACACACACACAGAGAGAGAGAGAGAGAGAGACAGACAGACAGACAGACAGACAGACAGACAGACTGACAGACAGACAGATATATTTACTGGGTGATGTGTGACCTGATAGCTAATATTAGTAATTAAGGGTGAATAAAAAATTTGTGTTTTTCTTGGCTAGCCTACCTGGGAAAGTGGAATTATTTCACAAATTGCTGCTGTAACTTGTAATTTATTGTTATTCAATAAATTCTAACATTATGCAAATACAAACATGTTTTGTTTCTGACAAACCATGCCCACACATTTTCTAAAAGAAACCCACTTCAAATACAAAGAGACAAACAGGCTAAAATTTACGCATAGATACTGACCACTGAAGGGGAGAGGGGGAAATCAAGCCAGGAGTAGAAATTAAAACTTTTACAATGAATATCAGGTACTTTTCCCTCATCCCATCCCCTTTCTGCTCCCCAGGGAGAGTGAGGCCAGGAAAGACATTTGTATGTTAACATTTATATATGTCACGAAAAATATGTGCTGTTTTAAAATTTTTATATACAAAATTCTGCAAAGGAAATTAAGCAATATTTTTTGTGTGTATGTGTGAGCACTTATTTTCACAGCATACATGTGCAGGTTATCAAACAACTTTCAAGAATCTGTTCTCCTTTGTACCATGTACATTCCAGAGATGGAACTCAAGCTGACAGCCATATCTGCCAGATGTTATAGGCAATTAATATTGCCTATAATTAAAACTTGAGCAGTGTCAGAATAATGAAGACATGGTATGTCGACAGACACAATGGAATATTATTCTTTTGGTAATTTGTTTAGTTTTCTTTTCCTTTTTCTATGGATTTCTACTGCCATTGATAAACTTCATTGAGAATATCTTCAAAACAAAAAAGAAGAAAGAAAAACTGCCTTAGCCCAATGAAAAGGATACTGGACAGCCCAGATACAGAGTTTAGCAAGGAGTACGACAAGAGAGAAAAGGCTACAGCTGAAGCATCAATATTAACATACAAAAGATGAGAATTTGCAGGGAAAAGCTAGAAATCCTTTCTTGCCTGGGTTCCATGTAATGAATACATCATATGCAAGAAAGGCCTGTGATGTAAAATGTAGCTCGAATTCTAATTGGTCTTAATAATAAAAACGAGGAGTCGGATATTAGGGAGTGAAAGTTGAAAGATCAAAAAATCAGAGCAGACAGCCTCTAAAATTCTCCTACAAAATCCTCAGACCGAAAAGGGCTGAGCTCCCATCTCTTTCTGCTTTATCTCTCCATTTATCACTTCCTGTCTCCATTTCCCTAGTGCTGGGATCAAAGGCATGGGCTCTGTTTCTCTTTTAGACTGGTTAAATCTCATGAAGCCCAGTGTGGCCTTGAACTCCTGATCTTCCTGCTTCCACCTCCCAAGTGCTGGGATAAAGGAGTGTGCCACCACTGCCTGGTCTCTATGGTTAACTAGTGGCTAGCTCCACCCTCTGATCTTCAGGCAAGGTTTATTTGTTAGAACACAAACAAAATATCACCACAGTAAAAACCTGATAGAGGTGTCAGGTAAGGAGCATTGGGACTCTTCTTTTGGAGTGCATGCTTTTCCTTGCTCACGAGCCTACTTCCCTTTCTTAATAAACTCTATTTCTAACCACGTGTCCTGGTATAATTCTCAGCACTGGGGTATGAGAATCTGTACAGGGCTGGAAAGATGGCTCAGTCATTAAAGGCTAGGCTCACAAGCAAAAAAAAAAAAAAAAAAAAAAAAAAACAACAACAACAACAAAAAAAGAATTTGTACTTGTACACTGACAAGTACCCAGTGACTCACGGCCACACCTATAACATGAACAGTGTCAGAAGAGGCATCACCTACAGGAAGATGTGTCTTAACATGTCCAGTGGTAGTGGAAATCAGTGTGGTGGTTCCTCAGGAAGCTGGGAATAGATCTACCTCAAGATGCAGTTATACCACTCTTGGGTACACACAAAAGACTCTACATCCCACTACAGAGACATTTGCTCATCATGTTCATTGCTGCTTATATATAATAGGCAGAGACTGGAAACAGCCTATAAGTCCATCAACTGACAAATGAATAATGAAAATATGGTACATTGACACAATGGAATATTATTCGGCTGTTAAGAAAATGAAATTTGCAGGTAACTGGATAGTGCTATGAAAAAAAAAATCATCCTGAGTAAAGTAATCCAGACCCCAAAAGACAAATGCTATATGCTTTCTTTCATATATGGATGTTAGCTTGTAAGCCCTTGATATTGTTATGTGTGCTACAATCCACATAATCACAGATGTTAGGAAACTAATAAGAGATTAGAAGGGAAGCGAGGATCTCCCAAGGAAGGGGAAGAGGAATGCATTGTTCTGGAAAGATAGGGAGGAGACTGGAGCGGGATGAGGTGATAGAAGTAAAGGGCAAAGGAGGGAATACGATGAGGGACAACTAACACTAAAAGCCATTTGGGGAGCCATATGAAAATTTGCTACTGTAGAAGTTTCCTAAAAATATATGTGTGTTGGACAGTTTTATGTCAACTCAACACAAGCTTACGTCATCTGAAAGGAGGGAACCTCAATTAAGAAAATGTTTCCATAAGATCAAGGGAGTAGGCAAGCCTGTAGGGTATTTTCTTTATTAGCGATGGGTTGGGGAGGGCCCAACTCATGGTGGGTGGGCTGGTTCTATAAGATAACAGGATGAGGCAAAGGCCAGTGAGCAGCACCCTCCATGCCCATGCATCGGTTCCTGCCTCTAGGGTCCTGCTCTGTTTGGTGATGGACTGCCACCTGCAAGTAGACACTGAAATAACCCTTTCCTCTTCAAGTTGCCTTGGACATAGTATTTCATCACCACAATAGAAACCCTAACATATATGACATTAAATATCTACAGATATTCTCCATTCATATATGACAATATACATATATGAAAGCAAACTAAGTTTTAAAAACAAAAGGAAAACATTTTCTCCATAAACTATACATAGAGGTCAAGATATAAAGATGGTATGCTAATGAACTCCCTTACTGCCATAATGTGAACGGCAAAATAAAGGAACATGCTGACAGAAGAGACACCAAGAGATCCAAAATGCAATGTTCTGTGGTATGGCTGCCTACACAGCAGCTACCTTGTTTGAAATGGGCCGGCAGTATTGGGGGAATGCCTGAAGAAACAGAGAGACAGACCCTGCACCACCATCTACTTGAGCCCTAGTCAGTACTGAGAACGTCTTCAGTCTGCTATGCATACTGTCCCTCAGGGGCAGGGGCACACAAACATTCATGCCTGATGGCATGTGTGAACTCCACCTCTGAGCAGAACCACATCACTCCATACCTTCCAACTGTTAAAGCGGTTGAGAAGCTCTGCTTTGAGTCCAATGAATCCTCTGAAGAAAAATGAAGCTGAGATGCCTTGCGCTCACTCTCTCTCACAGGGCGATCATCTAGAGAGAAAATTCCCAACAACTGTAGAGAACAACAGGGACAGGTGATTGCCTTACTCTTCATGAGAGTGGACATGCTGAGTTCCCCCACTCCGGAGCTGGTGCTTCAGGAAACACCCTGGTGCTTCAGGGATGACGTAGACCACAAGCTCTCATCAGCAAATGGCATGCATCATCCTAGAATGATGAGCTCTGCTGGCTACACTTGGCTTCCCAATAATGCCAAGTGCAATGTCATGAGGCTAGCCTATGCCCTCAAAGCTCATTGTCCATGAGCTGCTACTGGAACAGGCTGATGTCCCTTGTAAAAACAGGACACATGTGAGGTGCACAAACATTTAAGACATGCTCCTTAAATGTTTATTAAACATGTGCATGCCAGGCACTGGATGAGTCCTGTCACATAAGCAAACCATGAGTCAGCAGCACACTGAAGAAGACTGAGACTACATGAGTTTACTCTTAAGGGTGAGTTGAGTCCTCAGAATCTCAGTGCTGGAACATGGAGACAAAGGAGAAATCCCAAATGTCCCAAAAAGAGATCTGAGGCTTCAGAAGACTTTGACCAAGAGTTCATGGGACCTCTTACATAAATACTTGAGGGTGAGGAGGCCCTCACTCTTGGAACTTTCCCATTTTATCACAGTATTCATGTTGCAAATGTGGTTAAGTTTCCATGCTATCTCCTAAATGGTATTTACCATTTAGGCACAAAATTATAGAAAATAGTAAAAAGTGAGGGAAAACCCATAAATGTAATTACATGTATCTTCTCTAGACTAGCAGAAAATGTCTAAACAGATCTACTTTCCCCTCAGAGGCAGTACAAATCCCAGATTACTCCACCAGAATTCAAATGCAAAACTTCCAAAGACAATAGTTTACCCCCTTCTACACTGTTTCCTGTAGCAGCATCCTCCCTGACCCTAAAGCATCCTTTGCTCCTTCCTCTACAACCTGTCCAGAGCCTTCCAAATTCCCACCTCCAATGAGGACCAAGCCCTTCTGCAGGCCCTGTAGAGGACTAAGAAGCTCCTCTTCTAGCATCTGTTGATCCTGGACCTTTGGACAGGATTTTCCCAATGATTCTGATTTCAGTAACATCCCTTTGCTGTGTATGAAGTTACATCTTACATACTTTCTCCATATAAACTCTTTATGATTCTGAATCTAAACTTTTTTGGCAAGGGGAAGGCAGTAATGTAAAACTGAAGAATTTCATATTACTCATAGCTGTAATGCTTCTACAAACAAAGCCATACTCAACTGTTTATAAGTTAACAGTCAAATAAAGAATAGAACATAAGCACTTATCCCTCCCAACTATCTTCAAGTTAAACATAGAAATTCCAAGTATGTTTTAACTAAACAATGTGCTCTGGGACTTAGGCCATCTGCTTAGCACTTGTGGTCTAATGGTGTTCATGCCCCCAGGAGATCCACAGTACACATCTGTGTTTTTGTCAGAACTGAACTGTGAGCTGGGCGTTGGTGGTGCACACCTTTAATCCTAGCACCCAGGAGGCAGAGGCAGGCAGATCTCTGTGAGGCTAGCCTGGTCTACAGAGCAACTTCCAAGACTGGTTCTGAAGCAATACAGAGAAACCCTGTCTCAATTAAAAACAAAATAAAACAAAACAAAACTGAATTGTATGACGTGGGTTTCTACATAACACTGGAACATTAGTGTTAGAGCTCACAACATGATGGAGCTGGCTTTCAGAGTCAAGACACAGAAGATCTGGTACTCAGCACCCTCTAGCCTTTGACCAACAACTATACTGATGGGAGATGTCATTCTGTATATGTTTCTCATACTGGTTAATGAATAAAGCACTGTTGGCCAATAGGAAAGAAAGATAGGAGGGACTAGGAGACAAGGAGGAGAGAGGAAGTAAGAAGGAGGAATGAAGATGGAGAATCTGGAGAGAATAGAGCCGCCAGCCGCCTCTCGCTGGTAAGACCACATGGACATACATAGAAATGGGTTAATAATTAAGACAGAGCTAGCCGATAAGAAACTAGTACCTGGCCAACAGAACTGTATCTAATACAGAGTCTCGGTGTGTTAATTGTGGCTGGCGCAGCGGCGGGACAAGACCAGGTGGCGGGCAGAAAAACCGTACTCCCTACACTATACTTTGAGGCTAGAGACACATGGTTACCACTGTAGGGGCAATGGACTACCAGCTACAAATAAGACAAGTCTGCCCACCACTGTTACTGGCCCATTCTGCCCTAGGAGCTGAGCTCTTGTAGAATGAAACCTGCTGGGCTAGGAGTCTAGCTTATTTACTCAAGGCTATTATGTCAGGTTCTCAGATCACCTTCAGAGGATTGAAGAAAATAGTTCCAACCGAGTTACTAAATAGGTGACTTCTGGAGACATCCAAACTATAGCTGACCAGAGAAGAGGACTGCTTGGCAAGGAGTCACTCATCCCTACTAATTTATACTGTTACAGAAGGATGAACAAAAGGAACATGTGCTTGCGTGATGCTAAATTCTTCTGCTATCTCGAGAAACATCTCCAAGATGCAGAGAAAGGGAATTTAAGGTATCAGAACACCATTTACACATGAAAGATCAGTTCATGATCAAAACATTTTAGCACCGACTATATGGATGAGTTCAGTCTGATGTTCACTCGTGAAAGATCTTGACCTATGACAGGGCTAAGGAATGGCTTGTGCAAGGCTGGCATGTAGACTATCTATGGGAAGGCTGACTGACAATGTTTCTCCTGCATTTATGTACTGGGTATAAAAAAGCAAGGCTGACTCAGATCTGGCCAACCCACTCCTGTCTACATACAAGGGACAGGCAGAATTACCCAGAGAAGCTTGTAGACACTCAAGCCATCTCAGTCTCTTTTTGCTACTGTTAACTGAAAAGCAGCATCTATATTTTTAATATTGTATCTAATTTATGAATATATTTATGTACAAGAGTGTGGGTGCACATGTGTCACAGTGCACATGTAGGGGTCAAAGAACAACGTGGAGCAGTCAGTTCTTTCTTCCCACCACGTGGTTACAGGGAATTAAACCAGCTCAGACTTGGTAGCAAGTATCTTTACTCACTTTACCTACTGACCCAAAAACTGGCATCTAAACTTTACTCCTTCCAAAAGACTCTGAATGCATCTTTGCTGGCAGGCATTTGCCATGAAGGAAAAGTGGTCCATTTTTCTAATATTTCTAATAGACATTCAGTAGTTCTATTACTTTGATGACCTTCTGGGCTCAGAATGGCAAGATTTCAATGATCATTATGACAGGAGGTCTGACCCCAATAACAAAAGAAATGCCAAGAAATGTTTAGAAGCTCCTTGTCCTACAATAAACTATCCTGGGAACTTAAAAATATCAACTCAGGAATGAACTGAAAACTTGGCATTTTGCTGTTGTTGCTGTTATTGTTGCTGGTGTGTGTGTTGTGTTAAGTACATGTGTTTGCTAGTGCATGCACAAGTATGTGTGCACATGGGGGTCAAATGTAAAGTGCCCTTGGTGTCTTTTCTCAGATGCTATCCATCTTGTTTTTTGAGGTGTAGTGGGTGAGCCTCTCACTACACCTAGAACTTGGTGATTAGGCCGGGCTGGCTGACTGGCTAGAAAGACCAACCCTGTGAGGATGAAGGATATTCCAGAGCTAATAGGAATTTAGGCCATCAGTGAAAATAAAAACACAGCTTCAGTTTCCACCAGGGAGTCACAAAAATGACTCCACTGCATGAGGGTGTGAGTACAATGGCTACTCCACCCACCTAGCTGTCGGAGCTTGGGGAGCATGTGCACCACAAATAGGCGATAGTCAGACTCATTCTTCACAACCGGGTTAAGCCGGAAGTCCACATCCTGGAGCTCTGTTAAGGAGTGGAGCCTAAATACTTCTGCTAATGAAGAAATGCAGTTGTAGTAGAGATTGAGACTCTCCAAGAGGGCCAGATGCTGAATGCCCTATTAAGTAAGAAAACATCTCAATTAGTGTATTATGAAAAGCAAAGCACTGATAGGAGCTAACCAATTTAAACACACTTATAATGGACACATACTAATCACCAGAAAAAAAAAAATAACAAAGCAACATGTTATCATTTGTGAAGTTCTGTGTTCCATATAGGATAGCAACCATATGGGGTGTCTGAATACAGACAGGTCTGTGAGTCCCAACAGTAATAAGCACAGCTACTCTCTTTCTCTTGAGGGTCCAGTATAATCAAGCTATACAATTTACATCATTTCATTTACTCTGCACACACCCAGATCAGGAGGCTGATGTTCAGGTTTGAGAAAGGAGCCAACCCTTAGTTTATTTGAAGCTGGAGCCTATACCTAATTGAGTCAGACACTGAAAACAATGTCAAGAATGGTCTCTACTAAGTAACATCTTCCTAGGCAGTGACACCATGCATTTCTTTCAAGGCAAGGCCTTCCTCTCTGAATTGAGCCATAAGTAGTATTTATATGAACTTTCCACTTGTGTCACTTTGGGGGACTCCTTATTTTCTCATCATGACTGGGTACCTGCAATGAGCCTCAAAGTCACACACTGCCATTGAGGGCTGAAGGTCAATGCTAGGCCATGAATAAATATAAAGTACAGAAAGAGAACACACAGTAGAAAAAAGGATGGAAGGGATGGGCATGCACACTTTAGTCTTTGGGATCTTGTTACATTCCATTTAAAGATAATCCATCTCCTTTAGAAATTTATTGGCCTTCAAAGTAGTTTAAATACATAATGGGATGGGCAAGACACTTAGCTTTAGATGAACAGTGACAATATAACATAATCATTCCAAATGTACAGTTTATACACATTCTTTGTGTAGCTTCAAAACATGTTGCATTTTTTAAGCATTAAAATATGTTCTTATGATAGTGATACATTTTAACAAGTCTAAAACATACCTCAAGACTAACCAAGGAGTTACGTGAGAGATCTAAGGATTTTAGAGCTGTCAAACGCATCAGAGAGTTCCCCAGGTGAGTAATCTTCTCTTGGTATGTTCCAGGAATAGATAAAGATCGAAGCTCAGCTAAGAACAGAAAATTGTAAGATTTTAATCCTTTTTAAAATTGAAAATAGTGTAAAAGTAATTCAGTTTAGGATGAGTACAGCAGATACTGACAGATAATATGCTTGACCAAAGTGTAATTAGGCTTAAAGCCTATCCTAGGCCCATCAGTGTACTTCTTATCAGTCCAAAGGTTAGCAGAGAACTCTGATCAGTCATTTTATCAAGAATTCCCTGCCCTCCGTGTCTCCTCCCCTTGAACCCTCATCTTATCACTTACTCTTCACCACCCTCCACTGCCAGCAAGATTCTGCTCCCTCTTTTCCTTAGTAACATCCCATGTATGGACCCCTGCTTGTCAGCTAAAACATCTATTTGTCCATATTGTACTGAGAATAGAATCTTCTTCCCCTACATTGCAAAATCCTACTGCAACAGGGTTGTGACCATCTCAACAGCCTAGAATAGTTTTCAGTAATGTTCTTCATTTTTTTGTTTGTTTGTTTTTGAGACAAATCTAGGCAACCAAGGATGGCCTTGGATGCTAGATCTTCTTGCCTTAGTCTCCTGTGTGCCAGGATTACAGGTATGTACCACCCCTTCTTAGCAAGCTCCAGGACACCAGGGCTATGTAGAGAGCCTTGTCTCCCAAAGAATCACCAAATGAAAGCAGGCTGAGGACTAGCATTCATCAATGTCTGTCTCCTAACTGCAAATGCAATGTGAACACTCTAGTCACGATGCCTTCCTCACCTTGACTTTATCTCCCCCAACTGCGAGTCAAAAGAAACCTTTTCTCTTTCAAGCTGCTTCTTGTCAGGCATTTCATGCAGGAAATGAAAAAGCAAACAAACAACACACACACACATACACACACACACACACTATCAACTAATATACCCTCTTGGTAAAGTACAAAATCGCTAGACAGAAAATCCTCTGACTAAACTGAACACTAACAGTCAAGAAGATCAACCAGACATTCACACATTCAATTCCACGACACACTTTTCAGGTGTACTTGGAACACTTGCCAAAAGAAACCCAGATTCTGGGTCATTAAACAATCTCCACAGATTTAACACAACTTAATATTATACACAGTATATTTCTCTGGCCATAATAAAATTAACAACTGAAAATAACAAGAAAACCTCCAAACATGAGTTTTTTCTTTTTTAGAAACAAAATTCTAAAGTAAGTAATAAAAAAGTTAGTAATTCTTAAGTAATTCATAGATCTAAGAAGATAACCTAAAGGGATATCTGGAAAGCATATTGAAATCAATGAAACTCAGAGCCAGTCATGGTGCAACTGCCTATAATCCTATCTACTTGAGAATCTGACTAAAGATCCAAGGCTAGCTTGGGCTAAATATGGAAATCAAGGTCATACTGGCTTGATAGCACACTTGAAAAATTATAAAAGGTTGGGGTGAAGTTCCATGACAGAGCATTTGCTTAATATATGTGAATCCCTAGGGTACATCTCCAATAATATCCCAAACAGGAGGGAAATATAATACTAACAAATGTGTATGCAGCTAAGTGATACTTACAGGAAAATGTATATTTAAATTATAAAACAAGTTTTAATCCATATTATGAGGTTTTGATTCTATAGTCCAATGGGTAAAATAAATGCAAAGCAAGCACAAAGAAAATAAGTAGAAAATGGGAAAGATTTAAAAACAGTGAAGATAGGGATATCTTGGGAGGGGGGTTGGGGGGCATGGCAGGAAGGGAGGGAGAGAGGGAGGGAGGAAAAGAAGGAGGGAGGGGGAACTGCGATCGATATGTAAAATAAGAATATATATTAATATTAATATTAAAATGTAATATCCTTACAGACCCCACAAGCACTCGTAGACTAGTAAGAGAACGCTATAGACAGCTCTATGTACACATGCTTGACAACTAAGAAAATACATGAATTTAGGGATGGAGAGATGGCTCAGCCATTAAAGGCTAGGCTCACAACCAAAAAATATATGAAAATACATGAATTTAGTAAAAAAGAAAAAAAATAACAAAAAATTCACTTAGATGAAACCAGTTTAGTTTTCAAAGTCGAATTTGTAACAAAATATTCAAAAAATGGGAAAATCTAGGCCTGCATGATTTCACTGGGTAAGTCCATGAAAAATGTGTGAAGAAAAACACACATTCTACATGACCTCTTGCACAAAACATGAGGCCCTGATGTCCAAACCATATAAAAACAGACCGGCATCCCTCATAAACACAAATACGAAACCCTCAACGAAATACCATGTAGGAACCCAAGGAGACAGAGAAAGAAACTGCTGCAAAATAAAAAAAAAAAAAAAAAAAAAGAGGCGCTGGCTCAGCCTGACCACCGCACCACTCCTAACACAAGCATGCGCAGGCCAGATCCGAAGGCTCTGAGGGACCACGGCCACACCCTGCCCCTCCCCACAACCGGCCACACCCTGCCCCGCCCCAAAACCGGCCACGACCGTTTTCGGAGAAGCGGCATCCACTCTGGGGCAGAGCTATCAGACTAGGCAAGCCTCCCTGGAGAAACCCTGAGCCCCGGGGTGTCGGCCCCGCACGCACCAAGGTCCCGATGGGGACCCAGGCCGCTGCGCTCCCGGACAGTCTCCTCGCACAAAACCAACCGCTGTACTGGCGCCATGTTTTCAAACCGGACCCCCACGCAGCGCCTGCGCAGTATGGTGAACTGGATGGGCGGGACGAACACTGCAAGGGGCGGGCCCAAGAAGCAGGCCCGTATCTGGGCTGTATCTGGAACTTTCTGTGAGACACCTTCACTTACACTACCGTCACCAACTAGGTGCAATCTCACCCTGCTCTGGACCCTCCCAGGACAGCACCATTGGGCGCAGTGTGGTCTGTGGTAGCAGCTGCTAGTGGCCCGTGCATTTGCATCCACTCCCACTTGGGTTCACCTTCCCCCATTTCCTTCTGGAGCCTTCCCTCCTGAGGTTCCTTCCTTCATGGAAACTGGGGAGCTCCTCCCACTTCCCTCCAGGTCTCATCTTAAAGAGGCTTCCTTAAGCTCACATTCTGTGGTTGGAGAGACAGGCTGGGTGCAAAAGTTTCACAGTTTCTCACACTTTCACAAAACTTTCCCTTCATCAAACCCGGGGTCCATTGAGTAGAACTTTGTTCATCTGGGACACTTCCAGGCAGTGAACAGATAGATACCCAAGCTTTTCATAAGCAAAATAAAAGCCTTTGTGCTTGCCACTTAAGAGGATGGTACCTCAAGACACAGCACAACCTTCAAACATGCTCTTTCATCCTATTTTGCCAGACCCGAGGTCAAGAGTCCTTGGGAGGGGGGTAGTCTATCTGGGACAGAGATCTGGGACCAGCTCTTCTGCTGTAATGCAAGTGCCAGCAGAAACTTTGGAAATAGCACTTCTGCTTACTACAGTTTTGCATCTTCACTGAGAAATTAAGGACAAGGATTAGCTGTGCATCCTGAAGAGATTCCCACAAGCCTCAGTAAGCGTTATGCTAATGATTACTACTACTAAGTACTTTTTAAGGTGATTTATTAAATACCATCTGCAATGGAAACATTAGATTGTGAGCCAAACCCAAATGTATTTAAGCTGGCTAATGTGCCTAAATTCTACTTCTTTCGGGTGAACACCTAATTGGATAATGTCCTTAAGTTCCATTGAGGTGTTTTAGTGAATGGATTTGGTGTTGGTGAAAACACAAAGCAGGGACAGTGATGTGACATGGACTCAGATTGTGAACCAGGCTGGGCCAACATCAGGAGCTACTCCCCCTGCCTCTTGGCTCATAAAGATTTCCCATCGCAGGAACCTTATTTAGCTGGGGGCCCACTGTGTCATCTTCCTTAACACCAAGAGAGTTGGTAGGCAGCTCTTCCACCCAGAACATTCTCTTAATCTCACATACAATCTCCATGCTGACTCCTGTCTTGGCATTCATTAGATGTCTGAGTTGGACCATGTATAGGGCTTATGAGGGTTGCCTCTTTTTAATATGGTATCTCTGCAGGTCATGCCAAAATGTGTGCTGCTTAAGACCCGCAATCCAAGTCAGCAGAACACTAGTGGGAGCTAGAGGAGGCCTCCCTGACTCTTTTTACCTGGTACCCCTTGTCATTTTCTAGGATCTTCCCTAGAGGCTTTCACTCCCCAGCCTGAATTCTTGAACCTGTGGGCCCCCAAAATATAGGGCCAGTCATCTTCAAAAAGAACAGTAAGGAGATCTTGTCCCTTTCTCCTTCTCCGGGGGACCATGTATGTCTCTCTTAGGTTCCTCTTTGTTTCCTAGCTTTTCTGGAGGTGTGGATTGTAGGATGGCAATCCTTTGCTCTATGTCTAATATCCATATATAAGTGAGTGCATACCATGTTTCTGTTTCTGTGTCTGGGTTACCTCACTCAAGATGGTTTCTTCTAGTTCCATCCATTTGCCTGTGAATTTCAATATTTCAATGTTTTTTTTTCTGCTGAGTAGTATTGCATTGTGTAAATGTACTGCATCTTCTTTATCCATTCAGTTGATAGGCATTTAGGTTGCTTTCAGGTTCTGGCTATTATGAATAATGCTGCTATGAACATAGTTGAACAGGTGTCTTTGTTGTTTGAATGTGCATCCTTTAGGTATATGCCAAAGAGTGGAATTGTTGGCTCTTGAGGTACACTCTATCCCATTTTCCTGAGGAACTGTCATACTGATTTCCAAAGTGGCTGTACAAGTTTGCACACCCACCAGCAATGGAGGAGTGTTTCCCTTTCTCCACATCTTCTCCAGCATAAACTTTCCTTGGTGTTTTTGGTTTTAGCCATTCTGACAGGAGTAATATGGTATCTCAGAGTTGTTTTGATTTGAATTTCCCTGATGGATAAGGATGTTGAGCAATTGCTTATGTGTCTTTTAGCCATTTAAGATTCCGCTATTGAGAATTCTCTATTTAGTTCTGTAGCCCACTTTTTAATAGGGTTATCTGGTGTTTTGGTGACTAGTTTCTTGAGTTCTTTGTATATTTTGGAGACCAGCCCTATGTCTGGTGGGGTTGGTGAAGATCTTTTCCAAGTCTGTGGGCTGCCGTTTGGCCTTATCCACTGTGTCCTTTGCCTTACAGAAGCTTCTCAGTTTCAGGAGGTCCCATTTATTAATTGTTGCTCTCAGTGTCTGTGCTACTGGTGTTATGTTCAGGAAGCAGTCTCCTGTACCAATTTGTTCAAGGGTACCTCCCAATTTCTCTTCTAAGAGGTTCAGTGTTGCTGGATTTATGCTGAGGTCTTTGGTCCATTTGAACTTGCATTTTGTGCATGGAGATAGACATGGGTCTATCTGCAGTCTGCTACACACCATCATCCAGTTGTTCCAGCACTATTTGTTGAAGATGTTTTCCTCCTTCCATTGTATAATTTTAGCTGTTTTGTCAAAAAATCAGGTATATGTAGGTGTGTGGGTTAATATCAGGATTTTCAATTTGATTCTATTGGTCTACCTGTCTATTTTTGTGCCAATACCAAGCTGTTTTCAGGACAATAGCTCTATAGTAGAGCTTGAAGTCAGGGATGGTGATTCCTCCTAAAGTTCCTTTATTGTACAGGGTTGTTTTGGCTATCCTGGGTCTTTTGATTTTCCATATAAATTTGAGTATTATCCTTTAAAGGTCAGTGAAGAATCGTTTTGGGATTTTGATGGGAATTACATTGAATCTTTAGATTGCTTTTGGTAAGATTTCCAATTTTTACTATGTTGAACCTACCTATCCATGAGTATGGGAGATCTTCCCATTTTCTGGTATCTTCTTTAATTTCTTTCTTTAAAGACTCAAAGTTCTTGTCATACAGGTCTTTCACTGAATAGAGTTACCCCAAGATATTGATATTTTATGTTGTTTGTGGCTGTCGTAAACAGTAACAATTCTCTGATTTCTTTCTCAGCCGATTGTGCATATACAGTGGGGCTACTGATATTTGTTGTTGTTGCTTTTTTTTTTTTTAGTTAATCTTGTATCCCGCTACTTTACTGAAGGTGTTTATTAGCTGTAGGAGTTCCCTGGTTGAATTTTTCAGGTTTCTTATGTAAACTATCATATCATCTGCAAATAGTGAAAGTTTGACTTCTTCCTTTCCAATTTGTATCCTCTCAATCTCCTTTTGTTATCTTACCATTCTAGCTAGAACTTCAAGAGATGTGGAGAGAGTGGACACCTTTGTCTCTTTCCTGATTTTAAAGGAATTGTGAGCTTCTCTTTATTTAGTTTGATGTTGGCTGTTGCCTTCCTGTTTATTGCCTTTATTATCTTTAGGTATGTTTCTGTTATCTCTTTGAGACCCTTATCATGAAGGGATGTTGGATTTTGTTGAAGACTTTTTCAGCATCTACTGAGATGATCATGTGGTTTTTCTTTTTAAGTTTGCTTATATGATGGGTTACATTGATAGATTTTCTTATGTTGAACCATCCCTGGATCTCTGGGATGAAGCCTACTTGATCATGGTGGATGAGTTTTCTGATGTATTCTTGGATTTGATTTGCTAGTGTTTTGTTGAGTATTTTTGCATCAATGTTCATGAGGGAGATTGGTCTGTAGTTCTCTCTCTTAGTTGTGTCTTTGTGTGGTTTGGGTATTAAGGTAATTGTAGCCTCATAAAAAGAGTTTGACATTGACCCTTCTGCTTCTATTCTTTGGAACACTTTGAGGAATATTGGTCTTAGCTTTTCTTTGAATTTCTGGTAGAGTTCTTCACTGAAACCATCTGGCCCCGGGCTTTTTTTGGTTGGGAGACTTTTGATGACAGCTTCTGTTTCATTATGAGTTATAGGTCTATTTAGACTGCTTATCTGTTCTTGATTTAATTTTGGTAAGTGATATCAATTCAGAAAATTGTCCGTTTCCTTTAAATTTTCCACTTTTATGGAGTACAGGTGTTATGAGTTGTTTTCTGCCAGCCTGGTTCCACAGCTGCATCAGTCACAAATAACACACAGAGACAATGTATTAGCTATAAAGCTGTTGGCCTGTTAACTAGCATTTTTTTTTATTGGATAGCTCTGTCTTAAATATTAACCCATTTCTAGTCATCTGAGTATTTCCACATAGTCTTTTCTTACTGGAGAGAGTCCAGGGTTCTGCACTCTTGGTCCTACATGTTGAATCTCCCACTACCTATCCCTAAATCTTCCTTGTCTCCTAGTCCCACCTATCTTTCTCTCTTATTGGCCAACAGGGCTTTATTTATTAACCAATAAGAGAAAAATATTTACAGAGTGACATCTCCCATCATCTCCTCTGTCTAAAATAAAAAGGGTTTTAAACTTAACATAGCAAAATATATAACAAAACAGTTATCAACTAAGAACTACAGTTAACAATATTCAGTCCATTAACATTTAGCAAGATTTAAAGAAAATATTTCATCATCTATCCTATCTTTGTGAGTCTATATGTAACTTATCTTTAACTAAGGAAAACTATAACCAGAACTATCTGTCTTCAACTCCATCAAAAACCACAGAAGGATAATATGTAAACTCTAGAAATGACAGAGACAACTCACTGCCTGGTCAGTCACCCGAAGTTCTTCTGTAATGTTCCATCTTCAGCCTATAGGCCAAAGTGTGTCTGGCAGACTCCTCAGTAAAGCAGGAAATTTTAAACTGTCCACCTGTATCGGCAGTTTG